CGTACAGGCTATGCATTATGCATTAAGAATAGTCGCATCATCAACACCAAACGGCAAACCCTGGTATAAGTCGTGAGAAAAGCGCAGAGAGAAAGGGCAAGAGAAAAGGATAACGTAAAACGGTCAACGGTTAGGGTATCGCAGGGAATATCCAAGCTGACTCAAAAGGTAAAAAATGAGACAGGGGTGGGGAGATCAGGTCGCGTGAGAGTAAAGGAAAAAAAAAAAAAAAAAAGAATTACTGATTAAACAATAACGTAGGGCAATAAGTAGTGCCTTCAGAGTAGTGGGCGACGGATCATAGCAGTGCCATGAGAGTGAAGACCAGGGAGAGCAGGCCCCCGGGGAGAGCAAGGGAGACGGCACCGTTGGGGTCAGGGGCACCGCTTCCGGTCGGCGCACCGGTGGAGGAGGTAGGGGTCGACGAGTCGGTCTCGGAGGTGGAAGAGGAGTCTGTCGCAGTAGTGGTGCTAGCGCTGGTAGTGACGGTCGTCATGGTGGTGTCTGAAGAGGACGACTCGGTGGTGGACGCGCTTGTAGAGGATGGAGTGGTAGTCGGGGTGGAAGAGGTCGACTCCTCGGTGGTGGTGGTGGCCTCTGAAGTGGTCGTGGAGCCGCGGCTGGTGGTAGGACTTCCCGTCGGGCTGCCGGTGGCTCCGTCGACGGTGAAGGTAGGGGTGAAGTTGTAGTTTGACGGATCGGTGTCATCGATGATCTCGATGGTATAGTCCTTGCCCTGTATCAGGCTGGGAGGGGGAACGAACGAGAACGAGCCAGAGTTTGGCAGGTTTCCTGCTCCTGTTAGCTGGTGTTCGTATATAGATAGAGTATACTACGTACCTCCCAAGACCGTGCCCGAGCCAGGAGTGATATCCTTGGACATCTGCAACTTGATGGTGACGGTCCCTCCGGTGGTTGGAGTCCAGTTCAGGGTGGTTGGCTTGCCTGCGCTGAACATGTAGCCGCCTGGAGGCACGAGAAAGGCGTTCTCCATGGACGCTGCGGCGGCAACGGCCGCGAAGGCGAGGTAGAGCACTGAGCGCATGCTGGCTGATACAGGAGGCAAAAAAGCTATATTATACACTGAAGAGTATATTCCAACACAGAACAACAACAGAAGTTGATGATAAGACGGCCGCAGCAGTGACAGCGCTCGGAACAGACGCAGAGAGAAGAAGCCAGGAAGAAACCCGCGAGAGAGGAAGAGAAGAGACAAAAGGGGAAGCACGAAGTTGATATTTATGGCAAACCCCGAAATAGAGTTTTCCAACTCCCCTGGCCCTTGCCTAGCGTGGTTAAGCTTGGCGTGGAGGGCCAGAAAGGCTAAAAAAAGCTAGGTCGGAAGTATCTTTGCCGCCAAAAAGTGGTGAAGAGGTACCTGCACGCCAAGCCCACATGGTTTAGAGAACGCTAGGCCGCTTTGAGGCTAGCGCGAACGGTGGTTAGTCCGAGGCTAATTCCGCTTTGGGAAGAGCATGCGGGCTGTGCACGGCTCACGTAATCAGGCAAGCACCGCATGATTCCACAGTAGGGGAAAAAAGCAGGAAAGCAGGGTATAAGAGTAGGGAGTTATAGGGTATAAGGATGTATTAAGAGAGATAGGAGAAAGACAGGAAAAAGGGCGACAGGGAAGTCGAGGATCGCCGTATAGTGCGGTTACATCCACAGAAAGGTGGTTGCTCACTAGTCTGCATATACTAGCAATCATACTATGAGATGTCGTACGCTGGTCTCCTTCTTCCCCCCTTGACGGGCAGGACGCCAATCTGACTCCTCTTGACGGGCTTGACGGGCTTGACAGGTTTGACGGGCTACAAGGCACCGTTGGCAGGATCAACAGGCACAGGGTTGTCCAGAAGGCGGCGCTCGCCCAGGAAGACGATGGCCTGCATCACCCGTCGGTCCTCGTCTTCCCGCTGGCCCAAGAGCAGCTAATAAGACACCGAGTTAGCTCGGAAATTGCTCCACGCATATCTTAATTTATACCAGAGCTTTAAGTCGAGCCGGTGGGGAAGAGACATCCAGCAGAGGGCAAAAAGGATAAAAAAAAAGAATAAAAAAAAAAAAGAAAATAAAAAAAGCAAGGAGAAAGAAAGTAAATTGGAACGAATGGACAGGACTTACCCGTTCGTACAGGCCTTTTCGCCCAGCTTTCTCCCCCTTGCTGGCTCTTGGATTCTGTCTCTGGGCCCTCTCGTTCATTTCGCTCCTCGCTGGAGTGTCATGCGAGAAGGGACAGGAGCTGCCGCGCCGACACTGGCCCGTCTTTGCGAATTGGTGGCATCTCCGGCGAGGAGGCACGCGATCGGGCTGCTGGCGGCGGGAGGTCGTCTCTTCCGGCTCGCTGCCACTGCCGCTGGCGATGTCACTGTCACTGTCACTCCCGCTCGACTCGCTTTCACTGCCACTGTCGTCGTCAGCGCTCGAAGTTTGGTCGCTTTGGGCCGGGGTTAGTGTCATCGTCGCGCCAGCTTCATCTTGCTGTTGCTCTGCCAAATCTTCCTGCATGTTATTCTTCCAAGTTCCTCGAGCTTGAGCTTGAGCTTGAGCTTGTTCCTCTCTGGCTGCTGCAGCCTCAGCCTGCGCTAGCTTCCTCTCCTGCCTCGCCAGCTTCTCCCGTAATTTGTCAGCCCTCATCTTCGCCTTTGCAGCCACATCGCTTGCATCGGCTCTTTTCTCCTTCTCCCTCTTCTCCCTTGCCTTCCTCGCTTCTTCCTCCCTTCGCCTTCTCGCTTCGTCCTTTTGCTTCCTGGCCTCCTCTTTGGCCGCCTTGCGCGCTTGCTCCTCCTTCGTCTTCTCCTCCACCCTCTCCCGTGTGGGGAACCGCCGCTTTCTCTCCTCGATCCAGGCCCGTACTTCAGCCGTAGAACCCAACGTAGACGTTCGCCCCTTGTAGCTGAACTTCAGCTCGCCTTTGGCTAGCGAGGCAGCGAGTTTGGCTTCCTCGTCTACATCTCCCGCCTCTGACTCGCTGGATTCATGCTCCTCTGTCTTGGGCGTCAGGCCAAGCTGGTTGTGCTTGCGCTGCTTGCGGGGTCGGGCCGGGGGCGTCTGAGCTGGCGCAGGCGGTTTTGACGGCAGGCTGTTAAAGCTTGGTACCGGTAGTGGTGCGCTGGTGAAGGCTGCTTCGTGTTGGCGCTTGGGAGGTCGGTTGTTTGTCTGCTGTGGTCGTCGATCTGGCGTCCGGCCGTAGTTTGGCTTTGGGTCGAACCCCCAGCGCATCGGTGCCGGCGGGTGCGGCTGTGTCTGATACGTCGTAGCTAGGTAACCCCCCCGTGCCGGAGCATAGTGCATCGCCGGCTGTTGTGCATTGTAGCTTGGTCCGTACGTATAACCCCCGTGGTGGGGATGCGTTGGCTGATGGACAGGTTGGTGGACAGGTTGGTGAGCAGGCTGGTGAGCAGGCTGATGGACCGGCTGATGGACAGGTTGATGGACAGGCTGATGGGCCGGTTGGTGTGGCGTGGGCGTGTATCCCCATGAAGCGTTCATATCATTTCCATATCCGCCACGACCACCTCGTCGTGGTCCGTTACCTCTCCCACGCCCTCGATGGTGAGGGTTATAATTCGCACGTCCTCCGCCTCCACCTCTCGGATAGCTGTTGTATGATGCCTGTGATGGCGGCGGAGGAGGCGGAGGAGGAGGGAACGAGAATCCCGTCATGAGGTATATCTTTTACCTCCAACTTGTAGATTCACTCTGACCAGTGCGGTCGCTATATACCGTCCAGTAGATATAAACCTGTTCGATAATGTTAGAAGAGGTCCTTATAAAGACGCTTCACAGCTATATTTCCACTCACTCTTCACGTCGACGCCTACCAATCACCGTAATAAGGGTATATAAACCTCCTTAACAAAGAGAATTCACTATAGGTACTCTCTTCCGTCCATCCGTCCACTTCCACGGGCTATCTCTCCAGAATCTCGACGTCTCGTCGTCTCATCTTCGACCCTGAAAGCCCGCAGAAAAACACGGGAAAAATATTATTCCGATGAAGCTTCGATGAAGATAATTTTGAACAAAAGAAGAATTTGATATTTGATGCGATGAACGATTGAATTGAATTGAATATCTTAATGGGTTTGCTTTGTCGAGGCTGGTTATAATATTGAAGTGTTCTTGCTGAAGAATTGAAGATCAACGTCGCAGTTTCATAGTATTATCAGCATTTGATACCATATACCCTATACACAACTGGCATCATGTTTCTCCTTGTGAGTGAGAGTGTTATTATTGCTCCTGGGTGTCTGCTTGTATCCTGACTTGCGCAGACAACCATGTCCGACCTGGTGCAGATAGCGCCGGAAGACTTCTCGAAGCTGAGCTCTGTCGCTATAGAGGACAACATCAACGAGAAGTACGCTAACAAGGTGAGATTATACCTGTCAATGCAAAAGACGGAGACAGAGATCTAATAGTAGTGCAGGTCATTCAGAATGTCGGTCTCTGTATCGCTTTTTACGATCTACTCGAGTCGTCAGACGGCTTGATCGGCCATGGAACGGGTCTGGTTAACGTCAACGGTGAGTTGATGGAATATCAAACAAACCGCCGGTAGAAAGATGGCTGATATTAGCAGTCAAATTCCGGATAATCGTCTTTCGGCCGTTTAAGGGAGAAGTCATCATCGGGAAGATCACCAATGGAACAGAGCAAGGGATAAAAAGTAGGTTTTAATATCCTGCTGCTGATATATCGTACTAACAGGCGCGAAGTCGGAGTCGAGTTCTTCAACGATATCATCGTTCCGCCAGACCTCCTGCTGGATGGTGCTAGATTGTGAGTCCTCTCTCTTAGCACGGACATTACTTCCTACTGACAAGAAGAACAGCGACATGAAAGACCAGGTCTGGATATGGGACAACGGCGAGGGAGGCATCTTCTACTTTGACGTTGGCGAGACGGTTCGCTTCCGGGTCGAACAGGAAGAATGGCACGACCAAGTTCCTACTGCTCCAGACCTTCACGACGGCGTCGCATTTCCGGACCGAAAACCACCTTACTCGATTATCGTATGTTCTACATGTACCCTACTAACCCCTACCAACGTTACTATGGCTGACAGGATGTAGGGCTCGATGCAGGTTGCTGGCCTTGGCTTGGTGGCCTGGTGGTCCTGATAACGGGTACCCAGCAACCTTTTACTTGCTCTGAGGAATATGTTCCAACAAGCGGTGCCAACTTCCCCTCATCCGGGCTGCAGCTCTCATGCTTTGCTTTGCTTCGCCCCAACGATGCTATGCATAAATACTACGTTGGATACCTCTGCAGCGCTCGATCGTCTCGGCTTGGTCTCGAAAGGCGTGGATTGGCCTGCATCGCCGGCCATCTCCTCCCGACGTTGTGCGAGAGCTTCTTGTACCAACCTATCGGAACGCAAGACAAGCCATGCATCCAACATATTCCCCATCCCCCAACATAGCACAGCAAGCGGCCCTCGCCAAGTGTGCGCTAAACTGAGCATCGTTTTCACTCCCTTTGCCCCGCGGATTCCATGACGACAGGCCAAAAGCTGGGAGATAGAAGATAAGAGATACCAGGCTTGATTCCTCATAAACGGCGAAATATAGGCGTTCTCTGAAGGTAAGGCCAAGCCACCGTTAAAGAGAGTCTGATGGAATCGTAAGATGTGGATTTTTTTTTTTTTTACAAACTTTGTAGACCGGAGAAATAAAGAATTTAACCTACAAGGTTACGTCAGAGAGAGTTCCCGTCCCTTTCGCATAAAACGTTGATGTGTAAATGCATCTAGAACGTCCTCTACCTTTCTTGACGTCTTGTTTGTACCGTCATGTCGCTCACTAACCAGATGATAAACGGCCGGAGGGAGAGAGACTGCATCAGCATCACCCATGAACGAAAGTACTATCGCTCCGGCGGCACGTTCGTCAAGCGTTCTCTTCGACCAAAGGAATGGCAAGTGAGCCAGTTCAAGGGGACGATCCATGTTCCACGCAAAGGCAGAGAGAGAATCCTGAACGAAGCCGCAACGCTGCAGTTCCTCAAGGAGAACTCGACCGTCCCCGTCCCACGACTGTACTGCTGTTTCGAAGATGACGATGCCGTCTATCTCGTGATGGAGTATATCGAGGGTGTCAGCATGGCCGACCTGACTGAGGATCAAAGGGCGACAGTCGAGCGTGAGCTAGGGAAACACATCCAGCAGCTTCACGCCCTTCGTTCTTCCAAGCTTGGAGGCCCTTCTGGACTTGTGATCCCTCCGTATCGTGCTATGCAGAAGACGTTCAGGGACGACTGGGAGCTGCAGCCGTCGGATGAGGATGACTATGTCTTTTGTCACAACGACCTCTCGCAGCAAAATGTCATCGTTGATCCGGCTTCGTTGGAGATAAAGGCCATCATCGACTGGGAATACGCTGGCTTCTACCCTGCTTACTTTGAGCGCACGTTCTTCAAGCGCAAGGGACCTTCAGCAGCGATAAACGATGAGACGGACGATTCGGAGGTGTTACTTGACTTCCTCAAGTCTCGTCTGCTGACAGCTTAACACGATGGTTCGAGAAGAGATAAAGCTGAAGCTTGTCGTATTTGTCGTATACAGCACTGTAGCAACAACAAGCCTTGTGTCGTCATCTCCATCTTCCTCCCCATCTTCATCCTCTATATCCAACATTCCTTACTTGTAGCTTGCATCATCAACACAAAAATGGCACAAAAGCATGGACTGTGCTGACAAAGCACTGATGAAGATTTAGCTCTTGCCCTTGTCCCCTTGCAGTAAAGATCGCCATAATACGAGGATGTTTTGGTAAGCAGCGGGTTTAAGCTTATCTAAGCCGCTGACATCATCCGCCTTAACGCCGAGCAAAGGCCACCTTCGGCCATCATCAAAAGCCTTGGAGGGGCTTTTTTTCCTTGTATAAAAGGACGAAGACGAGGTAAAGAAGTTGTCGTTTACATTGGGTATAAACCATTCAGCTTTTGTCTCCTGTTCATCATCACTTATACTCGTTCGTATATCAGAATCGTATCTTGCAGATATCATAGAATAGACAAAATGGCCACCACCGTCGTCCCCTCGAGCGTGCTGCCCGCCCGCCTGGAGCAGAAGGAGACCATCGAGACGCCTCCAAGAGCACCATCGCCAGTCCATCGCTTCGGAACAAGAGCTGTGCATACTGGAGCGCCTATCGAGCCCACCACTGGTGCTGTCATCGCTCCTGTAAGCGCTGGTTCCTTTCGTCCGTATAGAAGAAGTTGAATGGCGCAGTTATAAGTGACTGACGGCTCTCCTAGATCTCTCTGTCGACCACCTTCATACAGCACAGCCTGGGAAAGCCAATCGGTGACTACGAGTACACCAGAAGCTCCAATCCCAACAGGTCCGTTGATCTTAGCGCTGTCGATGTTGATGCTGTTGATATAACTGCAGACTAACAGCGTGCAGAGACAACTTTGAGGCTGCAGTTGCGGGGCTTGAGAACGCCCGCTATGCGCTCGCCTTCTCGTCCGGCTCTGCCACCACCGCCAACATCCTCCAGTCGCTTGCCGGCGGCTCTCACGTCGTCTCCATCTCTGACGTCTACGGAGGCACCCACAGATACTTCACCAAGGTCGCTGCCGCCCATGGCATCGAGGTCACCTTCACTCCCACCATCGAGATCGACGTGTCCAAGCTGATCCGTCCCAACGAGACCAAGCTCATCTGGATCGAGTCTCCTTCCAACCCGACCCTGGGGCTCGTTGACATCCGCCATGTTGCTACCATTGCTCACCAGCACGGCATCCAGGTCGTGGTCGACAACACCTTCTTGAGTCCCTACATCCAGAACCCCCTCGACCACGGAGCTGATATCGTCATCCACTCCGTCACCAAATATATCAATGGTCACTCTGTATGTTACCCATCGCCTACACTGAAAGAATGACTACTAAATTATACTATATAGGACGTCCTTATGGGTGTTGCGGCCTTCAACTCCGACGAGATCAAGACCAGGCTGACCTTCCTTCAAAACGCCATTGGTGCCGTCCCCTCCGCCTTCGACTGCTGGCTCGCCCACCGCGGTCTCAAGACCCTTCACCTGCGCGCCAGAGAGGCCACCGCAAATGCTACCCTGATAGCGCATGCCCTCGAAGCTTCCCCCCACGTCCAGAGCGTAAACTACCCCGGCATCGACTCCCACCCCCACCGCAAGATTGCCATCAAGCAGCACCGCAATGGCATGGGCGGTGGAATGCTCAGCTTCCGCATCAAGGGAGGCCGTGAAGCCGCTGAGCGTTTCTGCCAGTCGACCCAGCTCTTCGTCCTGGCAGAGAGTCTTGGCGGTGTGGAGTCCCTGGTCGAAGTCCCCGGCTCCATGACCCATGCCGGCATCCCCAAGGAACAGCGTGAGATTGCAGGTGTCTTTGATGACCTCATCCGTCTCAGCTGCGGTATCGAGGACGGCGAAGATCTCAAGGCAGATGTCCTCCAGGCCCTCGAGAAGGCCCTCGTCGCGCCAAAGATCAATGGCGGCAACAGTTCCAACGGCGCTTAAACTCTCCAACTCGCGCGCTCTTTTTTCCCTTTCTTTTTTTTTTTGGTATTTCGCTTTATCATCTTTTTACGATGGTTATTTATGAGCCCCACGTTATATACACTTGGTGAGATGCGGTTCCATCTTCGCCGATTAGAGGAGGATTTTATATATACACCTTGGATGCACTTTACTCCCTTCATTGCCTATCCGGGTTAAGCATAATGCTCTTTTCTTATCCTGGTCACCCTAGTGAAATAGAAGAAATAAAGAATAGAACATTGCTCTTGTACATACCCAGATTTTTGCCCTGTTGCCTTATTCTTGCCGATGCTGTGATGTTGCACCCAAACGTCTGATTAAGGGTTGCTCCCGTAAATCCCGAAATCGCAGACATTACAGTGAAGTCTGGAAGTAATATTTATTGGGTAACACTATCCGCGTGCCGTTACAACGTCCAAGTTCCATGGAACTCTGAGTTGATGCCTTGAAGTATCATCCATGCATCTTCACATGGTAATATGTCGGTTATTATATGTCTGCCTGCCAAAAGTATCTCAGACGACCTACCCTTCTAAGCAATTATCAACCAGTGCTATCCCGGCTGACTGCTGGTAATGAATAATAACTCATCCGTGATATAACCATTTACGGTGCTCGCTTATTCGCAGTGGTTAGGATACTGTTTCATGTATGTTTGAAGGAAAAACGGCATAATGGTATATTCAGCGGTATCAACTATTTACAAACATGGAAGCCAAGGCGTTGCAAAACCCTGACGCTCATCCTCATCTCATCTCCCCTACTGGCACTCCTTGGGCACAGCGGTGCTGCCAGTGCGGTTCTTGGGGTCATATTTGGCACCGGTTCCCAGTCCACGCTTAGCAAACGCTTTCCACAGCTCGCACTTGTTAGCTCCCTTGGTGAGGTTCTTGTCAGCATCGATGATGGCGTTACGGGCCTGGACGAAGTTTTGGCTTGCATGGTTGGCTGGAAAGATGTTAGTCGAACGTCACTGGAAGGAGGGAGGGCTCTTGGAAGTCAACTTACATGGCCATTCCATCAAGAACGAGCTTCAAGGAGAGATATTTGCCATCCTTGGGAACGCCGTTTTCAAAGACGGGAGTTGGGCCGTCGTTCTTGCCGTGCTTATCGATCAGGTTCCACAAAACCTCGTAGAGGATGGAGGCCCATACCGTGCCGATAGCGTGGACTTCGTTGTATTTGTTGCATGATGTGTAGACCAGTGGGTTGGTCTTGAGGCTGGTGGAATAGGGGAAGAGTCGGTTGCCCTTGGGACTGTTGTTAACCCACTCTCCATGGACGTAGTTTGCATTGCGGTTATCATTGGGCTTTAGGCGGATGGCAGTTGCAAAGAAGTCACCCCAGCCTTCACCCATGCCGCCGGACTCTAAGCCGTTCAAGCAAGCGGAGTTGGCAGGCCCACCGCAGAGACGGTTGGAAACTAGTTAGGCCACCGTATTTTTAGCTTAAAATAACATACGAAATGCAGACAGCAGTCAGGGGGTGTAAACTTACGGCCATGAGTGTATTCGTGAATGACGGTGCCTGCTTCGAATGAGGAATCGCGAGCTGGCTGGGCCTTGGTCCAGATATACACTCGCATACGGCCAGGCTGGCCATCAGGAGGGGTAGCGAAATTAGCATTGTTAGTACCGGATCCATCCTGGGCATTGAGAATGACAAAGTCGTTGCCTTTACCACCTTGGCCGCGGTTGTTGACCTGGAAATTTCCAGCCTTTTCGGTGAACCCGAGCATATAGTATAGATCATGTACCATGTTGGCGGAGTAGAACAGCTGGGTGATGGATGCGTCAATATATGTCTTTGGCGGGCTCATATTTGGCGAGTACGGGTATTCGAATTTGAGATTTTTGTTATTTGGCCTGTAGTTGTTGAGATACTCATTACCGCCATCCGGGTTAGCCTGTGCAATGGCATTGTTACCCCGGGTTGTGGTGTAGTTGTTCTTTCCGTCGCTGATCCAGGTGAATGGCGAGGTTCTGAGATTCCATGGATTCTCAAGGATCTCACGCTTGCCCTCAGTAGGATCGGGGATAGGCCAACGGCTATCGGATTAATTGAAATTAGCCTCAGTCAGAAATCTTACGACTGAAATGCTCAAGCAGTGGGTTGAGAGATTGGGGGATAGAAATATGAAAACATACTAAACTTGGTACGTCGCATGAGAGACATAGTCCACCACGTTATGGACTTGGTCAGTGCTTTTAGCATCAACGTAGGATAGGAGCCAGTTGTCACCCATGTCCGTCTCCACTCTCCAGGTCAAGGCCAGAGAGCCATCTTCCTTGGCCATGTAGCAGAGTTTGGCAGAAGGGTCAGAGAGAGCGCCAGTAGTTCCCATGAACGTGACTTCATGCTCATTCACAGTCTTGACGGTCGCCTTGTCGGCCGTGATTGGCAGGTTAAGGGCCTTGCGGACTCCGTGCAGGGCCTGCATGGGGTCAGAGAAGTCCCGCTTCACCATCGGGGCCTTATCAGGGGCCGGCCCGGTGTAGAAGGAGTTTCCGTAGGAGAGGACTTTGCCATCTTTGCCAATCTAGTTTGGCTTATGAGTCGACAATGTATGAGATAACTTGTAGACTGGCTTGAACTTACGTTGACATTGAAGTCAGAGTTATCGATGTCCATGCCATGCATGGTTTGGCGGAAGTATACATGGCTGATGCCGGACACGCCAACATAATGATCATCGACGAGACGGAAGGTCATTCCAGGCATCACCCGCTTCACAACCTCAGTGGCAGTCTCGACATAGCCACCGGCGCTGACGGAGGCGATATGCGGCTGCTGGGCCTGCATCTCATCTGAACTCATGTAGCTGGCCCTGTCAGCCATGCGGTATGCATTCAGATCAACAGCTCGGCCAGCAAGGCTCGTGCCAGGCTGAGGATGTGCGAGGACATGGAGCGGCAGGCTAAGAAGCCCAGCGGCAAGAAGGAGGCCGTGCATGATGGGGGGGGTATCAAGCGTATTCAAAATGGAATGGGTTGAGAAATTCCAAGACCCTGTCAATAGGATTTACTCTGTCCCATCATTCCCATGGAAGACATATGGGGGGGTTTATATAGGTATGTCTCTCTCCCTAGATGAGTAGAGGGCGCAGCATCTTTTGATATCCCGTCATATGCCAGATCTGCTCCGCATTTCTGGCCATCTAGGGGGATGCCTGACTACCCTGTTGATCGTCCTATGCAATGTCAGGGAAGGTCTCCGTCGCATGGGGGGGCAGCGCGCCGCATGTTTCCGGCCAAGAGCGTCCCCGTGTCCATTGGTACATGCTGATCGGCTCTGGATAGGGACGAGGATGAAGATAAGACGAGAGGAAGTCCTCGGAGTCGCATTGCCATGTATATCTCGGAAAGCAATGCCGGCTATAACCAGGGAATCTCCCAGAGCTTCAGCGGTAAATCGTGGGGTAGTAAATTGCTTAGCATGGTATAATTTATATTTATAGTCCCTCCCCAGCGCATGAATCGATGCCTGTCTGCATGGAGATGCCGGATGGATGCCTGTTCAGCAGGGGACATGGACTGGATACGGGCACCGAGGACGGCCTTGCAGGCAAGAGACGGGATGTAACCCATCTAGGAAGCTTGATCTATCAAGTCGAGGGTGACGGAGCTGAACGTGCGGCAGGCATAGCCTTGCTTGTAGAGTCAAACACGGCCTCGTCGCGCTGAGGGGTCCCTTGGTTTCGGCCGTGGAGTTGAAACGGAGAAACGGACGGTGGTTGTTCTTCAATGCTCACGTTCTGATAGAAGTTGGCCTGCTTAACGTTGGTTGGAGCCGCAGATCGCCCGCCAAGACCTTCAGCAGCCCCTGAAGACGAAACATTCTCGAACGCACTTCAGACCGGATGTGATACTCGAGCAGTTATTAATGATACGTCTGGCATTTGGTGGTAGCTCGTGGGATATATGATTACTGAACGGTGGCAGATGTTTGCTTTTTGCGTCTTCCACTTAATCTCTCTGGTCTTCATCGCACTGGCTCTCTGTACAATGTGCTATTCTCTATGCCAGATAAAGACCGGTAGCCAGACGAGGAGACTAGAAACTAGTCAGGACGATATCCTTTGTTTTATGAACATGGCGATCCATAGGATAGGGCTCTACTCTGTTACCACGATCGGAGCATATGCCGTACCGAGATGAACCAATCTCTCACCAAAAATCTCAATCCATAACCCTACTGCTCAAATCCAAGCCCTTCATCGATTCCCAAGCGAATTTCCACAGTGACCCGTGGCTTATCCACTGCAAAACCAGCTGACATGAGCGGGAGTGCCCTCCATGATCGGTAAGATAAGCTGTATCTCAAGATTCAAGGACGGACTGGATCCCAAGCCAGGGATATATATCAACTTCTTCGAGAGACAACCCGGTCTTTCGTGAGCTCTTCCATCTGGCTGGACCCCTGCTTTTTTCAGCTATGATCAGGCCTCTCTGCTTCAGCCATCGAAAGGGAGGTCATTCAACAACGTCGAAAATAACAGTGTCTACCATCGAGTCTGATATGGAGCTCTCCAAGGACTTGGCGAACCGTCCAAGCCGTCAACCCCTTGCTACACCAAGCCACAGTCTTGTCCCCCGTGCACTGTCTCGACCGAGTCAGTTCGCGTGCCAGGCCAAGGCATTACTACCTGGAAGGCTACAGGCTTCCAGGTTCATTCTCAACAACGGCCTTAACGGTTTAATTGCTACAAATTACTTCCAGAAGTGGATGGATTATTGTATAAGTCAATCTCGGAGTTGATTCTGCCTTGGGGATTTATGTAACAACATCAGAACCTGGTAAGCTCGAGACGGTATCAGAAACAGCCACCAACCGAGGCCACAATACAAGATCAAATAAAAGTACATCAAACAACAAGAATTTGTGCTGTTGAACCCGCATCCCCGACTCTCAGACCAGAAACAGGTCATCTCGGAGATGACTGAGGTTTGGTCACGTAATTTTGTACTGGTGATGATGATAACTTTTGGTCGGCTAACCGTTGTCGCTGCTAGTCGCTTGCAGGACTGATCTGGTGGATCAGACGGGTTGGTTGGCCCAAGTCGAATGTTGGTAATTTGGTGAACGGGTTTTCCGGTGGTTTGGTGAATCCGTCTGCCAGCAACCTGTCGGTGGGAATAGCCTGTAGCTTGAGAAGGCTTCCGTAGATTGGTGATGCCGATGACCATCGGTCCTCGCTTCGGAGGAGTAATGTTTAACGCCGGTATAGTATAATATAATAACTGGAAAGTTGATGGGAAGCGTACAGATTGTTCGTCTCCGAACCTTGGAAAAACCTTAGAAGCCGAAGAAGGGCCCAGCTTATTTTCGCCCTAAATATATGGCGATATATTGGATCTTCCTCTCTGGCTACTCTCTAGATTTCCGTATTACCTGAGGCGGTAGCTAAGATCCAAACGATTGAAAGTTTCTCACCCACGCAGCCTAGCTTTTTTCTGAAGCGGAGGACTAATAATCTTCCGCTTCAGAAGTCTGCAAGATAATCCGGCATTATAGTTCGTTGCAGTTGCTAGGGGATCCGATAAGTAGGGTGGATATTATTCGCGTCAGGTGCTACCTTGCCAGTATCAGGTAGCTAGTGTTTATTCCGGAAAGTAAGCCGCCGTATCTATCTGCGCTAATATCGCAGCTTCGTGGTACAATTCGTATGATATTTAGGTCGTTGGGCCAGTGTATAACGACCGCTTAGGGCATCTCATGATAGGGTTCGTAGCCTTCGGGCAGCGTTCAGGAGTGGCGTCGTCCACCAAGGCGTTAGACGCTTGAGTTTGAGCTTGGACATGTGGTTTATCCGCCGTGGTTGAAGTGCCAACGACGGGTTATCAGGCAGGGGTTGGGGATGGGAGGTTTATCATGGGGTAAAATATAGACTAACAACGAGAGCCCATGGCCCGTCCGGACAACCAGCAGGACTGCTTTATATGCTTGAGCAGCCCTGCTGGAGGCCGAAGGTTGAGGTCGAGGGGCGATGAAGAAAAAGACGAAAGAAAAATGGAAATGCACGAGCCTTCACCCCGCTTTTTATGCCTTTCCAGGAGCTGAGATATTCCGCTCCGCCTGGATGATCAGCTCGGGCGTCGGAAGTCGGCGAATGAAGATTTCAATAACGGCCAAGCCACAAAGAGGAGAGCAAGACGCTGTGTGACGCTGGACGCAGGCAGGATTGAGAGGTAGACGGTGCGCGCCGTAGGTGGAAGAAGAAAACCACCGCAGGATGGGCTCGACGTTTACCTTTGGTTTTGGAGGCGACGATGTGGAAGATATCGACAGCGTACCGGACACAGAGCATGGCATACCAACTGCCAAAGGGCAAGGGGACGAAGAAAACAAGAGCGGGCTGATATTCAACAAAGCAGAGGAGCTTCTTCTTGACGATATGGTAAGTGATATGTCATTTCCTCGTTAGCCTGTGCATCACATAGCAAGCAAGGGATGATCAATGGTACGTGGTAGCGTGTCAACGTGGGACCAATTGACGAAAATGATACCCTTTTCTGTGTGTTCAGCTCCGTATCGTGCATGGATATGACCAACTGGATCTCCCGCTGCTATGTGAACAACGGCACGGCTATGCAGTTACTGATGCCACTTCACTAGCTTGCCTCCCTTCCGTCTCAGATGGAATTCGATACCCAGCTCATCCGGCCGAATGACGTGGAGCCGTTTTTAATTGGCCGTCGACAGTTGACAGATATTCGTGTCCAGCTGATGGCTGAACATGATATGCTGAATGAGAGTGAAGGCCTACTCTTCGGCCTACAGAAGGACGATATCATGCCCGCTGTGTATGAAGGAGGGTTTAAAACATGGGAGTGTGCCATGGATTTGGCAGGCATCGTGACTCAGGGTAGCGTGAAGTTTGCATCTCCAGATGGAGAAGACGATATTAATATAATAGAGGTAGTACTAGGAATCTTGGCCTGCATGATTCAATTTTCTTCTCTATCTTCTGAATCGTCCTGGTACTGATATGCAATCGATAGCTCGGAGCCGGCACCGGAGTACCTTCTCTATCATTATTCCGGTCATTCTTAAGTCAATCTAAATCCGAGGCTACCAAGCGTCGGAAAGTACGTTTTGTACTTGCTGACTATAATGCTGCCGTCTTAAAGTTGGCCACCCTGCCGAATATCTTACTCACCTGGTTTATAACCTCCCGGCGCCTGCGGGAAGGAAACCCTACCCAGGCTGATCCGACTGTTGATCATTTGATGGAACTAGATCAAGCCCTTCTAGAAGACTTCCGTCGGGACCTGTCGGACCGTGGGATTACACTTTCCTTCATATCTGGGGGGTGGTCCCCGGAATTTGTCGACTTGTGCCTGGGCAAGCTACAGAACGTGAGTGATGGGGCAACCACAGGCCAACGGCCGGCCGCATTAGAACGGAGAACCGTTATCCTGGCCAGTGAAACTATATATTCCCCGTCCTCGTTACTTTCATTTACAGAGACGCTGGTGTCGTTGCTCCGGAGAGCGGTATCGAACGGGGCAGCAAGGCATGAGAAGGATAAACCCCCAGTCCAGGCACTTATCTCAGCTAAGAAAGTGTACTTTGGGGTTGGAGGAGGGGTTAGTGAGTTTTTGAAGACTCTCGGAGATGTCCTCCGAGGCAGTGACGAGTTCAGAGCGCTCACCAAGTCGGTGATCTCTGACGCTGGAGTTGGGAGAATCATTCTGGAGGTACTCCCGAAAGAGTTTGTCGACGGTTAGACATGAAGGGTGGAAAAGAAAGGATATTTTAGGCTCCCAAGTAAAAGCGTTGAAAAGTTGTTGTGATGATATCAACACTTTTTTTTTTTAGCTTTGACATGTGGAAGTACAGGGTATAGTTGTACATAGTACGTGTCTTCCCACGAATGACCAATGAAAAATCCAGCCTATCGGGTATGACTTGTGAACGCATCCGGGGACATCAAGTACTTTAGAAGACAAAAGAAACTGATGTTTGTCATATGTACAGTGAGTCATAGTCACCACACTCTGGGTGAAAATTGCTGGATCTAAAAAGAGGGGAAAGAAATATATAATAATCTAAAAATATCTTCCGTCTTCGTACAGGGACTAGACCTTTCCATCCTTCATGCGTCCTAGTCTTGCCTCTTCCATATCTGCTCGGCGTTTTTCATAATGTGCCACGACCGTGGAGAGATCTCCGGCAGAGTTACCAGGAGACATGTTTATGGGGGAGCCAGTGTTGAACAATCTGAAAGCATTAAAAAAAAAAAAGGTTAGTGACGTGCAGAAAATCGCCCGAGAAATTCAATCGGGGTGAAATGACGTTATAACGCAGTGGTTGACGGAAGATAGGCATGCAGAATCGTGGGGTATGCAAGGCAACGTACTCGGGAAAGGCAAGGTCAATAGTCAGCGGAGGATTCTGACTGTGGAACAGATGGCGGTCTGCAGCTGCCTGCTCAATTGCCCGGGTGTGGAGAGCGTTGTTTCGTTCCAAGACAGCCTCGCTCGCGGTGAAGGCCTCGATGACGTCGGTCAACCATGGCTTTGAGCTGGCATCAGACGTGGAGTACTTGTAGAGTGCCAGACCGATGGGGATAGAGGCAACAGAGATGTAGAAACCGCGCTGTATGCCGTCAGGCGTAAAGTGTTAGTAGGGCTATCATCTTGGATCAAGCAGCATGGCCAATTGCAAATCGCCGTCCGTAGCTGGGCTTTGATCTCCAAAGCTAGCTGCCTGTAAGACAGAGAGCTCCGTTCATCCAGATGGGCCAACACGAGAGCCGGGGATGGAGGATTGGGAAAGACATACTCCGAGGTGTTCGTTGACAGGTTCGTGGTGTGCAGAGTGCGAATCGGAACGGCGGGGTTGCTGGCGCTGAACCAGGGCGCGCCTCGCCGGAGCGACAGCCCTCCTGGCAAGAAACATGTCTGACGCTTTCAATTGGAGGGAGAGCAAGGCCTGGTCGACGGTGTCGCGGAAATGCGTCTCTTCCAAGTCCTTTTTGCTGCTTGAAGCTGCGTTTCTTTCGGATGAAGTTGAGATAGTAACACGTGACTAGTCATGATGACTAAGCATGCCTTTTTTTTTTCTTTCCTTTTTTTCTTTTCTTTTTTTCTTCTTTTTTTGGAACTTCAAGAAGTTCGACAAGTTCAAGAACAACAAGAAGAGCAAGTTTAATCTCGGGGACAGACGACGAAGAGACGAAGAATATGGCAGAAGACGGAGGCTGGGAGGTTCCTCCTCTCGCCCCGCGAACCTGATTGGCGATCCGTGGGCGTGAAAAAAACGAGGCGGGAGGTCGAGATGGGGCGTTGCTGCAAGCACAATTGGCAGGGCGACGAGTGGTTTTGTTGTCGTTTGGGCTTCGATGCTGCAGCAGTGACTGACTGCTTCATGAAACGCATCCGTCCCTGGATCCTCGACCGCTGAATGGCCAGCAGTGGGGAGGGATGGCCTGCTCTCGTCGTGTTGGCATGCCCTCTCGCAACCTGGACGGGGCTCTCGCAACCGTTGTTACTATGTAACGACTCCCTGCGGTTGCGACCGCCTTGCATCCACATCGCTACCCGACTAATGCACAACCACCTACAGCGGGCAGAAGTCACACTGAAATAAGTTTTATATAGTACTTTTTGGTGCCCAATTTTGCCAGGGGGACTGCCATCATTGGCTTCTATCGCCTTTTACCCTGGGCCTGGAGTGAATTGTTGCTGGATCATCCCTTTGACGTGGGTGAAATTTAATGCATTGCGCCCACTAAATTTTGGCTGGTCCTCCTGTTGTCCTGCCGATAGCCTCGAGTCGCCGGTTCGGTGAAGTATTAGCTGCTTAGCCTGTGTCATCCTCGAGCGGGTTATTACTTGGTCGATTTCCGCCTGGGAATATTCCTCCTCTGCAGAAATATTCTCTCTCACTTTGCATCCGCGACACTTTTGATTTTGCATTTTACGACGCCAGCGTTCTTGTTTTCTTCTTCTTTCTCTGTAATTTTATCTTTTACTCTTAATATCTTCTCTCTGTCTTCTTTGTCTGATTATCACTGCATCTCCCAGCATCTTACGAGTTACGTACCTCTTCTTTACGACCGAAATCGGAAGCCTTATTTTTATCTAGTTCTCCCGGGACTCTTTATACTATACACCATCAAACTCACTCGCTTCGAGAATATCCCCTAAAGACAGCCGGAAGCGTTTGTCGCTGCAAGCAAATACTCCTACGGTTTTCAGCCCTCTGCTCTTTCCATATCACAAAGACGTGAAAGACTTGGTACATAGCCGGGACAAAAATCGCACAAAGCCTCTATAGAACCAGCTCATAGTGGTTCCCATAGTGCTCTGCAACAATGGCCAAGAAGGGTGCAAAGGCCAAAGACGTGGGGCCCAAGGCCAAGGGTGGCAAGGGAAAAGCCTCGAAAAAACAGCAGAAACAAAAACAAGAGGAAGAGGAGGAAAAAATCCAGACTGAAGAGCAGGGGCAGCAGCCTGAGGAAGATCAAAACATACCGGTAGAGCAAGAACAAGCTCAAGCTCAATCAGAGGATCCGCCCCAGAAGACCGAGGAAGACCCAAAGCTTGACGAAGCGGGGGAACCCAATGAGGGCCCGAAACCGGAAGAAGAACCGAAGCCGGAAGCGGAGGTAACACCAGAGGAGCCAAAGGTGGAAGATGAACCAAAGACTGAAGAGGGATCTAAATCCGAGGAGGAACCTAAGCCTGAAGAGCCCAAAAATGAAGAAGTCAAGGTTGTAGAAGAGCCAACTATTGAAGAGCCAAAGGCCGAAGAAGAGGTCAAGGATAGGGAGCCAAAGGCTGAGGACGAGCCGAAGCTTGAAGAGCCAACGGTCGATGCACTACAGGCCGAGGAAGTACCAGTTACCGAAGAGCCAAAGGTTGAGGAAGCACCTCAGCCTGAGGAAGAGACAAAACCTCAAGAAGAGTTAAAGGTCGACGAGGAACTCAAGGCTGAAGAGCCAAAGGCTGAAGACCTAATAACAGAGGAAGTGCTAAAGCTGGAAGAACCGAAAACCAAAGAGGATGTAGTTCCTGTGGAAGAAGTCACCCCTGAAGCAGCAGCACCTGAAGAAACCAAGCCTGAGGTGGAAGACAGGTTCGAAGAAGCGATACCAGAACCAGAGGCATGGCCGGAGGAAAAAGAGAAGTTCGAGGAGGCAATACCGGAACTAGAGGTGAAGCCAGATGAAGAAGAGAAATTTGAGGAAGCAATGCCAGAACCAGAGGTAAAGCCAGAGGATGAAGTTGTCCCAGACGCTGTACGACCATCGGAACCAGTGCAGCCAGAAGACAAGCAAGATGAACAGACCCCTGAGGTAGAGAAAGAGAATGAAAGGGCGTGGGATGAACAAGAGGAGAAGGAACAAGAGACAGTCATTGAATCTCCAATTACTCGGAAATCTCCTTCACCGTCCCCAGCTCCCTCTCAACCCCAGTCTTCCGCTTCTAAAAACCCCTCCAAGCCGCCCTCGATAATACAAAGTCTTCCTCCGCTACCAAGATCCATTTCCTCCACGCCATCAAACTTGAGCCTGAGTCAAGCATTCCCATCACCAAAGCTTTCCTCCACTGGAAGCCGAAGCAAGTCGGTAAAGTGCGCTAGCACAGAGGCTGGAGACGAATTCCAAGAAGTCGAGGAAACTCCCCAGCCTGCCGCAGCTAACACTTCATATAAAGGCCGATCTGCTTCACCTCGGTCTCAGTATGATGTAACTGATAGTGACTACCAAACTGCCTACGGCTCCGCCAAAACCCCTACCACCACAAGGGCTGTATCAAACGGAGCATATTCACCTTCTGATGTTCCCCTGCCTTCACCCTCTGTATCGGAGGCGAGGACAAAGTCTGCTTCCCCTACTCAACCTTCTTATGAATACACACATCAGCCGCAGCCAATCCCTGCCTCTGCACCACATTTTGCCTACCCATATCCATACGCTCACCTATATCAGCAAAATTCCAACTACCCAGGCAGTCCAGTGATGGATCAGACACCGGCAAATGTGGTTACTCCGCAGTACTCACCTGTCATGCATCCTTCCCCGCAACCCCATTATGCAGCATCCTTCAGCCAACACCAGGGAAGGAGGGCTAGCCGATCATCGAGAAGCCAGTATGACTACTACTTTGGAAATACTTCCCAATACCGCTCTGCTCGAGAGTCGATGTCTCAGCCTACGGAAAATGGCAAACCACATTTGAACGGTGAACGAGATCTCGCAGATACAGTTAATCTTCTCCACCGCATTCAAAATGTGATTCCGGACCTTAACAAGCTAGTGGTCAGCTACCGCGAGGCACAAAGCCAGTTATCCGCCAGGGAGGCAGAGAACAAGCAAATTGAGGCTCAGCATGAACAAGCTCTGTTACATAAAGAGTATTATATCGAGGCGTTGCAAAATCAGATGAGGAAAGTTGCCAATGAACATGCTGAAGAGTGTTCAAAGCTGAAGGGCAAGATTGGTGCTCTCGGGGTTGAACTCAGTGACCTCCAGGAGAGAAACAGAAACACCGAGGATACGCTGGTTGAGACGCAGAAAGCAAGAGAGGAGCTGCTTCGTGCCCGAGATGAATTGGAAGGCGAAATTGACCATATTCAGAAGGAGATTGAAGCAGCACGCGAAGCACACGAGCGTGACCTAGTGAGACTGAAGAGGGAGGCAGAGAAGGCAGAAGAGGAGGCACTTGCCGAGCAGAAGGAAAGACTGGAGGGCCTTTTCCAGGAAATCAAAAACGAAGATGACAGGATTGCTGCCGAACAGCTCAAGGCTCGTGAGGATGAGTTACTGGGCGAGCTTGCCGCCAAACAGAAAGAGCTCGATGCCAACGAGGCAGCACTGAAGTCAACCATGGAAGAGCTCAAATCTACTCAGGAAGAGCTGAACGACAAGAAGGCCGAACTTGCAGAGAAATACTCCGAGCTTGAGGCCCTCAAGGAGGAGCTGGCGAAGACAAAGACCGATCTCCAGGCTAAACAGCAAGAATGCGAGTCCAAGCAAAGCGAGCTGGAAACTATTCGAAAGGATCTCGAAGAGACCAAGCGCAACCATGAAGAGGAACTCACAGCATTGAGAGGCGCGTTGGAAAGCCAGACCAACAACGTCAAGGAGATCAAAGAGCGTTTGGCCAACATGGTCCTTGAGCACCGAAACCAAGAAGAGACATGGCAGAAAGCCCGCGAAGGTTTCGAAGCACAGCTCCACGAGAAGGCCGAAGAATTGAAGCTCAGCAACGAGGAGAAGGAGGTGCTCGAACGAGAAGGTCTGGCGAAAGAGGAGAGACTCCAGAGCATAGTAGAGGAGATGCGCCAGACCCATAATAACCTGAACAAGGACCGAGAGAGATTGAAGAAAACCCTACATAGCCTTGGTGAAGCGACGGACATGAAGATGAAGGGGGATTCGTTCTTGTAAGTCGTTTCGGTGTATATGAGATATGATTGTATTGCCTTGCCCACGAATTCCCTTTGTTGTTCATGTAGACGGCAGGCTTCAGTAGCATGAGGTGGGCCGGACCAAAAAGTCTTGCTTGTTTATTTTACACTCATTTTTAATATTTCGTTTCGCTCAATAATCAACATTCTTTTGGGTTTTCATGATCTAATTCATCCTTCTTTCGTGATCTAGCATTGAGTCCTTTGCCGAGTTGTCGCGACTTATCGTTGAGGTATCCAAGACGTACTTCACCTACTTGCCCATCGAGCCACCACCGGATATCCTAGCCAAAATCCCATCTGATATCCCGCAGTTCTTGGACAACACGCCAGCATCCCGAGAGCTTCGTGCTGCCTATGTCCAGCATGTCATCTCGAAGACCCTGACCTACAGGATCTTCCAACCCTTCCTGTTTACTCTTGGAAGACGGTACGACAAGGCGGACACATTTTTCCAGATGCTCTCAATCGACATCCGTCGCAAGTCAGTACGACGTGAAGCTTTCTGGAGACAACAAACCCTCAAGGCGGCATATACGACTTCTGATGCCAAGCAGGCAATCAATGTGGTTGCGGCTGTCATCGTTGACGAGATTGTTGACCACATCCGCCACTTTACGGATCCAACTCATCTTGACGCCCTGCTCACGAATGTCCGAAAGATTGTAAAGCTCGCAGCCGAGACATGGAGATTGGCTCGTGTTGAACGAGAACTGATCACAGCCACTATGCCGTCAGCAGAGGACGAGCAGACTGTGAACGAGGAGTGGGAAGAATTCGACTATGAGTCGAACGCCCCATCCCCCGGGGTCGAAGCCACAGCCGAGCCGCTGACACCAAGGAAGTTCCGTCGGCCTCTTCTCCGAATGCTCCCTCGTATCTTCCGCGGGGCCGTGCATGAAGACTTCCTCACTGAAGATGACCACGAGAAGGCATTGCCCTGCACGTACCTCCGGGGAGTCATCCTGTATAGCGACTCCCCCTCTGTCTTGGCCAGACGGGCTGAGATGTTCAAGAAAAAGCCAGAGGCATCTGGAGTTATTGACGATGCAGAAGATGCTCGACTGCGGGCCGCATCTGCCACTCCGCCAAACGCGGGTGCGAGAAGCCCTTCTCCGAAAAGCCCGGTTCGATCTCCCAGATCTAGGAGATCTAGGGAAAGGGCTTTAAGTGGTGACGACTAGAATAAGGATAAATCAGGACAAGGCTGATTTATCATCGTCATTATTATTTTTCATATCGATGATTTCATTACATTTCATATAGCTGTTTCATTGTTGTTTCATGGTTTTCGTATTCAATGTTTCTTTTTTTTTTCCCCATTTGACATATCTCCGGACCGCATTTGATATTGATATTTGACATTGAAAGTTTGATACGTGATATTCTGCTATTCCGACACATCTTTTTTTCCTTGAGGCATTCTCATGGTGTTTCTGTTTCTCTGCATAGCATAGCACGTCTATCGGATACGGCATGTGGTAATTGTACAATTCACGCAGGGTTTGCTATGGCCCCGGAGTTAGAAAGGCGACAGACTAATGATTTCATTCTTCTCCTTTTTTTTTTTTTAAAAACTTGGTATTTGTTTATTCTGAACTAGAGATAATAAACTGTTTATTGGTATCAAATATCTGCATAGTACGTTGTAGCTGTGGCGCAGTTCAGGCTGTATGAGTTAGTCATACCTTTGGGCCTCTGCTTCAAACTTTAATATTGTTGCTGATTTAACTAGGGGTCGCTTAGCGGCTTAAAAGTCTTTACTATGTACGTCTTTATCTTGAATTGGGGCCATCCAAATTTCAAGGAGATCACACGCAGCAATTCTGGCTTTCAGAACGCTCTACCATTGCTTCGACGTAGCATCATGGTACCAAACCATAACTAACGCGCACTCCACACATTCAGAAAAACAACCACACCGCCTAGTTAGCTGACCTTGTTGACATTTATGCCCCCAGTGGCAGAGATATTAGCTAAGTATTCAGTTTATGCAACAAGCCCGATTCTATGACAAACTTTGGAAGATGAACCTGCTTTATTCAAGGAGCTTACAGAGGAAATCATTGAAGCCCTTTATCATTTCATATGAATATGGTCCTAACGCATTTCCAAGGAGAGAAGAGCTAGAGACGGTATCCCAGGAACGTCTTTGTGTAGAGATGATTTGCGAATAGATTAAGACTAGAAACTCCGAACAGAGAAACAGACTGCAAATTTACTAACGGCACTCTTTTATTCAATTTGGAATCAAAGACAGAGAAAACGCTTTAGGAACAAACTCTTTAGAAATGGTTAAACCTAGATGGAAGGGATAAACGCACATATACTTGGGTCTTCGAATCAATTATTACGGGATTGGATTAAGAACTCCTCAGAGGCTCTCCCCCACCACTATGATTAACCTCAATTTGTACGGTCATGGTAGCCTTTGTTTTCGGTCTCAACTCCCATGTGGGTAAAAATATCTGCACCACGGATAATGAGTTGTGGGGGACGCTGATAGTACTGCAATTGATCAATAATGAGCTGCTCTAAAACGCAGTGTAGGATTTGCCAGGACTAATTAATAAATTTTTGGGAATTAGAGACGCTATTTTCATACAGGTTGAAGTAACGGAGTACCCTTTTAAGCTAACATAAAAATATACTGCAAAGGATATCATAAATTATTAGTTGAACTGGGTACATAACAAAATAGGCCGACTGGCCCAATTGGTTAAGGCGCCTGACTACGAATCAGGAGATTTGCAGGTTCGAGTCCTGCGTCGGTCATTTCTATTTTTTTATTTTATTTATATTTTTTTTTATGCGCTAACTACCATGCGTCGGGACATTATATATCCACGTTCTCCCCAGAGTACCTTGGGACGGTACGATGTAACTAGCTAGTACATGGCTGTTGAAGCAACCGCATTACTATCCACACATATACATAGTATGCGTTTGCTTATCTGGCCAGCACTCCACTTCTTGGCATTAATAAGTAGGCTACATACACTATGGAGGTTGTTGAGGTTTGACGCGATTGATCTGTCAGTATACATAGTATAGCCCGTAAGAATAAGGAAAATGCATATGGATGGTACTATGTATATTGTACCACTCCACCAAGGTATAGAATTTTCGCGTATAAACGATTTAACTATAAGAGAAAGTGGATATAAAGAGAGATTATTATTCCGCTTATTTATAGATAATTCTATTATTTAAGAAACTGAATATTTTTGGGCATTATTTTATTCATTATGTCTATTCATACCCTGCAGTGCTGGGTGCGAGTAACCGAACCCCTCCAGTTTCAACCCAATATGCAGTTGGAAGTTTTGACTTGCCAAGAACGCCGCGGCTATCTTAACTCTCTTCGTCATCAGCTGATGTAGCCGAGATAAATTTTTCGGGCATCCCACAATACAACAAAACAGGCCGACTGGCCCAATTGGTTAAGGCGCCTGACTACGAATCAGGAGATTTGCAGGTTCGAGTCCTGCGTCGGTCATACATTTTTTTTCCCTTCATTAGATATTGTTGTCAATCCAATGTTTGTCAAGGTTTTGATTCTACAAGAGGTTCTTGAGTTATTGTCAAATATAACCAGTCTCTTTGCCACCAATTGGTGCGGGCTCCTTTTTGGCCGAATGGCAGATTTTGACACATATCTACTTCTCTTTTGTGAGCCACTGGTGATTAGATGAGGCAACAATATCCACTAGTTATGAGATCCAAGATACCCAGAATGACGCTTCTCTCTTAAAACAAAACTCTTTTCTATGCCAATTATCCTGCTGAGAGGTGCCTTGTTGTTACTGCGGCGCCGATATGGCTAGGACAATAACATATCTCTTCACGGCAGAGCATCTCTCTCCTCTATCTTTTGTTTTCATAACAAAGCAAGTGGCCTTTCCTGTCTCAAATCCAGAAACCAGTCTTCTACCAAAGAAAATTGATCCGGATACCTCTTAACAACTCTTCCTCCTTTCAAAATGACCAAGATTATTTGGGATGACTCGGCTGACATGAAGGTATACACGCGTTTACTCTTGATATGCTTCGTGTATGGACTTGAAGTTTTATCTTCGTACTGACGAGAAATGCTGTGATTAGCTGCTCTACTCTATTATTGCGACATCTGTCTCTAAAGTTGACTATGCTGCCGTCGCGAAGATGTTGGGTGATCGTACGTCTAACAGATATCATTTTGAATGCTCCGGTCCTTTCGTTTCTGGAGATATCTTTTATTTAAATGTCTAACTCATAAGGTAGAATGCACGATCAATGCCATCAAACATCGCTTGGCCCGCATCAAATCCAAGATGAATCAAGCTAACGGCAACGCATCGCCTCCATCTACGACGCCCGTCAAACCTAAGCGTGGCAAGCCATCGAAGAAACGCCCTGCTGAAGACGATGAGGATCAGGAGAATGCTACGAAGAAGAGAATAGGGGGTGGATCTGATTGCTGAATTCGTATCTCTACCATGGGAAAGAGCATGACAAGCATAGTGGTTGTCAGCGTCGACGAAGGTGAAATGATGGGATACAGAAGAATCGATGTAACTGTAGAAGATGAAAGAAACTGCTGAAATTGAAGTATTGAGATTACATCTATGGTTGTCGAGTATATCCAAGAGTTCTCCAGAAGGCTGCCCTTGTAAAAGTATTGAAGATCGTCTGCTGCCCGAAAGCCTAGTAAAGCGGCGAGGGGACTTAAAGCGGCGGGGCCATCTATATCGCTGCACGCTAGCAGAACACGCTATACCCGATAAGGAGACATGGCTGGAGTTTAAAGCGTTTAAAGATATAAAAACCATCAACAAAGGCTGACAAGGCGGATATTGACAAACATGGACGTCCTGCCAGTTATTACAATGAAACAAAGGCCAAAGAGCATTTGTTGGGCGTTTCCCTGAATCAGCCGCGTGCTGCGCCATTCCTTCGCTGCCACAAGGGACAACGACGGGGGGGCGAGCAGTGAGTAATTAGCTTGCAAATGGCTTGCAGCTAAGGGGCTCAGCCAAGCAGGACACGAGCGGAAGCGACAAATCGCAAGGGGAGCCTGGCTGCGTGCAATCCCACCTGATGAAGGAGGTCCAGTCGAGTCCCAGCGTTGGCCATATATTTTTCCCTCTCCGTTGGAGTGTAAATACCTTTTTCCCCCTCCGTTCGCCAATAACCTCTGCACCGAAATCGATTAGCCATATACTCCCCGTATTTTCATGACGACCATCAATAAAGCAGAAGAGAACACGGAAAGGGAGATCGAGATTGACCTTATAAGTCTCTGTTAATATATATACCGAAGGCGGCTGCTTGGCTCAATCAGACTAGGTGGAGTCGCCGTCATTCCCGCCTCGACCCTTAAAAAAAAGTCACCGGTATGGTGCACGGTACCAACCTTGATTCTCTCTCACCCAGCCTCACACACTCTCTCTGCTGCTGATACTTCCAAAGACGAACACCTCCCCGACGGCCACTTTTACCCAAGGTCTGAGAGCAGAGAAGTCGACGGTGTTCTACCTGTTTTGTTGGCGTAGCCGCGATTAGCGATACCTGTCGCTTTTGTTTGGGAGATTCCGCGAAAAAGCACCTCGTATCTACGGAATAGGCCGCTCAACCATCGCATTTCATCATCCTCCCTCCTCTCGGCCATGTCTTCTCTCTCTTTCTGAGGCATTGTATGATCCTCTGCTCTCTTGTTGCGCTCGCTCACCTGGGGTCGGTAAACGTTTGCGATCCGGCGGACAAGGCTGTGCCATAAAACCAAAGATCAAGACCCAGACTCGGTCGCATCAAACGAGAGAAGCCAACTGTCGTTGAGGCAATAATCACAGGAAACAGCTGGGCCTGTTACTCGGCCGTCTTCAGGCTTAAAACGCCCAATATTCTGAAGAATGTCGACGGAAACCTCCAAACAGTTATCGAATATAGATCGAGACCTGCCTGCTCTAGTAGGAGAGGAGAACTTTGATGACCCGTTCTTAAACCAGCTCTCCGATGCTGAACTATCTGGTCTACATCAGGTACTGGCCACCCTTCACTATCAAGCAACATTCAGAGTAATTGTACAGATAGAACCTTAGCTAACGGCTAATAGACACCTGGTTATTTTTCTGGCTCCTCAAACTACCCTGGCTCTTATCAACAACATCAACCAGTTTCTTCTACGAATCCGAATGATCTGACTTCTCCATCTTCTCAGCTGGACTTTCTGAGCTCTGCAGACCACACTGAGAACGGGCTGAGTGATTTCACACGCCTTACTTCGCCCGATTTTGATGCTCCTTTCTTTGCCTCTGCGGATCCGCTTTTGAAAGCTGAAGTGGCCGATGATAGCAGCGTTTTCTGGGTTAACCCTCAGGATATCGATAACAATTCACCTGGGGGAAATAACTATACTCCGCGGAAAGGATATGTTGGAGCTGGAACAGGTGCTTCGCAGCTACTGAGCCCAGTACCAACTACTACACCGAGTCCCATCATTAACCCACAGCTCGACCAACGAGGGCAACGCTCCGCTAACGAACACACTGCCATTTCACCTCAGTCCATGACCGGTGATAGGCCATCGCGAGCGGCCGCCATGCCCTCTCATAACCCTCCTATGCTCATCACTCCCAATAATGTTAACCAGTTATATCCGGCAAATAATCAGGCTAGTATGGATCGCCAGGTTAGTCCTATTGTGAAGGTATCCAGTTTTTCCCGTGGAGACTCGCCATCGAGGGCAGGTGACCAGACAAACTATTCTCCTCACCAGTCAAACACAATAGACACTGGACATCTTTCTCCCGCTAGGGAAACCCGAGAAACCTTTTTCAACAGCGACGATGAGGACGATGATGAGAGCGATATTATCCAGCAGAAGAAACCTTTCTCAATTCCACCTCCCGCGAGCCGACTCGAGGATGGTAGTTGGTCCCGAAACCCCATTACAGGACAAGGTGGATTGGATCCCTCCGCAAGAGAAGATACTTTCGTCCCGAGCCCGAAAGAACTAGCTGCACAGCGAGAGCGAGATGAGAGGAATGCCGAGGTTGCGCAATGGATAACCCATAGCGATGCATATAGCGAGATTGACGGCAGCAAGCCTTGGAGTTTCCGGTCTCGACGCAAGAATAAGTCTGACAAGAATAAACGGCGGGCTAAGAGTGCAGGTGACCCTTTCTTAGGCGCCCAAGACGGTTTCAGTTCCCGATTTGCCTATCAAGAATTCGATGATTCCGCCATCCCTGGTCCTGGCGTACTAATTGACGAAGAGAGTGGCATGGAAGATGATGAAGATGACTCTTCTGCTGCATCGTCTAGTGTCCCCGAGTCGCCGCCCGCCAGCGTTCATCCTGACCTAGTAGACGATGATGAGTATAATGCTCCTACAACAATCCCCGATGCGGAACTCGAGCCATTACCCAATCAGTTTCTTCGCGCCAGGCCATGGCAAGATTCTGTCCGATATACTAGGGATGTAACCACCAAATTCCAGCCTACAACGTCCAACGCTGCCATCATGCGCTTTTTGAAACGGGCGGATAATACCGACACTGCTTCTCGTGCTGCTACTTGGGGAACGCGCGGTCCTAGTGAGTGTGACGTTGAGAGCATCATTGGCCCGAATGGTCGGTTTAGCACCATCCGAATCAGCGAAAAGAAAAAGGATAAGCCTATGAGAAGGAACAGTCTCCTCGAGCACGCTAGAGGATTGTTGCCCAAACGAAGCAACAGTAGCTCAAAACGAAAACACCAGATGGATTTGAGTCTTCACCCGCAACGGAGCCTAACGCCAGAACAACCACCTACATCCTCCTCTGACGGCGCTGCACAAAGTACCCACTCTCTTGTTCCTCAGCGCAAGCCCAGCTTTTCTAAAGGCAATAAACATCACACGGGCGGTGCTATCCTTGCCATGACTGGCCAGATGGCTACCGTTGGGCGTGGTGGAGGAGTTGGCATTCCGTCGCCTGTCGTGACGACTTCAACCACTCCTTGGAGCCATATCAGACGACGAAGCCGTAGTAAGAGTGACCTAACAAAGAGCGAAGGCCCTGGAGGCTTACTCGACCTTATTGGAACTCACGGCGGACCTCCGGTTCCCACCCTAGCATCCCCAAAACAAGAGAAGGGCATTGGTGCAAGCCTTATACAATCGAGATCTCCTCAAGACAAGCCCGAAGAAAATGATCTTGAAGCAGACGATGACGATGATGATATGGCTCATGAAAACGGAGTTACTATGGAATTTCCGGTTCGGTCTGACCCAATAGTACCGACTCTCGAAGGATTCAAAACCCATGTTAGGCAACTTAACCCTCGGCTGCAACCTGCTTTGATTGAGCGGATTGCCCAAGAGCAAGTGCGGCGGTATAAGAGACTGGTAGAGCTTAGGCTAAAGCACACACAGAACGTTAGCAAGAACAGCTGCAGTGCAGGAAAGCATTGCTTTGCGCAAGGAGGCGAAGCCGTCATGCTGCCGCCCAGAACTAGCCCCAAGGACCCCGAGTCTACATATGCTCAGTTTCAAGTTCCCGGGGCAGCAGTTACTCCTGAAGATTTGGCTACCTTTGGTGAAGCTGCCATTACGCCTGCTCTATTTCCACCTGGAGTCCCTCTACCACCTGTCCGTCGCCTTCCCGCTGAGTTCGAGTGCTCCTTATGTTTCAAAGTAAGGAAATTTTTGAAGCCTTCCGATTGGACAAAACATGTTCACGAGGACGTTCAGCCTTTTACTTGTACTTTCCCGGACTGCACCGAACCAAAGTCATTCAAGCGAAAAGCGGATTGGGTGCGGCATGAGAGCGAACGGCACCGGCATCTAGAGTGGTGGACGTGTAATATGCCGGACTGCTCCCATACATGCTTCCGCAAGGATAATTTTGTCCAGCATCTTGTTCGAGAGCATAAGATGCCCGAACCTAAGGTGAAAGCAGCGAAATCACGGAGCAAAAATCAGCCACGAGATACTACCACTGATACCCACGATGCTACCTCTCATGCACAAGCTATCGAGCAAGTTTGGAAACTGGTCGAAGTATGCCGTCAGGTCACGACTAAACAACCGACGGATGAGGCTTGTCGGTTCTGTGGCAATGTGTGCAATAGCTGGAAGAAGCTAACAGTCCATATGGCTAAGCACATGGAGCAGATTGCAATGCCTGTCCTTGAACTGGTGAACGACAAGACATCTACTACAGGTGGCATTAATACCTTGAATCAGGGAGTGATGACACCGCAGTCCCAGGCCAGCATGTGGACTCCAACCAGCCACACTAACCATAGCGTAGAAAACACTCAGGCGACCCGTGCGCCTAAGCCTATAACCTATGGTACCAGCGCCCTCCTGACCGAGGCGTTTGGTCTTCCTCGTGAGCCAGTACCTAAAGAGATACCCCAGCAGCAAGCCCCTGAGTATGCGGCGTTATCGCGAGCCAACCTTAAGCAACAGCAGCATTCTGCCGGACGATCTTTTACCATATCCTCATACCTTCAAACCCAACAGCAATATCATCAACCCCAAAGCCATAACCATAATCATAAACAGTACGCCAACCATCTTAATTCTGCTTCGTACCCTCCGCAATATTCTGCTCTACAGCAAGACCCACAATCCATTAATGGTCTTCCCATGCTCCAACCTCTTGCAGAACAAGGAGAACCTGTGTTGTCCGGCAATAATATTTACGGCAGTATGGGTATCTCTGCAACTGCGCCCATGATAGATACAAAGTTCGACGGGGAGCCAATATTTGCATCCCCCGTGGATAATGGATCCTACATGTATTCTGTATCGGGCCAGGAGACTATGGAATATAACATGGATGGTAGCGGGATGACTTACCCCATTATGGCTACACCGATGAACGGTCAAACGGCGGTTAATGGTGGATACATACCAAACCAGCATTATAACCATGGGAATCACTGATGAAGTAGAAGGGCGTTTTTTTGGATTTCTTCCTCTTGTTTTGGCGTATTTGTGTTTGGATTTTCCACCTTTGGGTGCTGAACTTTTATATTTTCGGGTGTATCTTATCGTACATGCCTTTCCTTGTGGATTCGACAATTTTTGATCTTATCATTTCTTTTCAATTATTCATATCTTTTTCATCTTTGCAAGCCCGATTTCATGTGCCTGGATGCGCCTTGGATAGTTATATTGTGAGAAATACTTTTTGGAGAGTATTCAGTATGTACCAATATTCCTCGAATATTATTTTATTTGAACTTGGTTAAGCCCCTTTATTCCGGCTTTCGCTTACGACAAGGGAGCTATTTCAATTGAATTTGAGCCCTTAAACTCTGGTCGCTACGGACGATGTACCTGGAAACAGGGTTACAGCTTGTCTGGAGCGTTTCTACTTAAGCGACAAGGGAACAAGGATACGAAACACGCGTTATTCCCCGCACCGGACCAATGGAAAGCAGATCAGTCATGTGGGAGAATCTCACAGGAGAATAGTATTCTCCATATCGGGCGATTTGGCTTCAGGAATGCATGGTTGAACGTTGTTTTTTCTGGGGATACCAACATGAACATATAACCTACAGGGAGATGTCAAATCTGGGGAACCTGCAACGCTGGACTACCGCCAAAAACGATCATCTAGATAACTACAAACCAGAAGTCCGAGGTTCTCGCAACTGGAGCGGATCATTATGATAATTTAGCGCAGAGTTTGCCGCTCGTATATCTCTCAACCATGGTACGCAGTGGCTTCTCCATCTCTCTTTTTACATAGTAGAGATCTTCATCTGAAGTTCCGTACGTCCTAGTGCGATTTGCGGTCCGAGATCACTATCTGTTCGTCCATACCCTAAATTATGATAGCATTTCTATTCAACGCCAGATACATGCGCTCGGAGGATGGCTAAGAGTGAATTGTCCATGTACCCCTCTTCCATGTCGCTGATGCTGTCATCATTTGTCCCTTGGTTGGCTTTGAGCTTAAAACGGACGTGATTTGTATACAAATGGCATGGCGTATATCATTTACCCGCCCTTTCCTAGGGGCACTCTGGCAATACCGATCGAGCGGAGTATTACGACATCCTCAATCTTTGGTGATTCGCTATTATGGTTCCAATTGATACCCCTGTGCCATGTTAAGGTCGCGGACTACGATGGATCGGTTTCCCTAGCATGCCCGGTGTCACCGGCATCCATGGCTTTACCCCAAAGGCGTGCTCGTACCGAACTACCATGAGATGTCTATAAAAGGGCCACCTTTTCGCCTCAGGTTGCTGATGGACTCCAGCAGCCCCTGCAGTTCACCCAACCCCTTCAGCCATGTTGTTTCTCAAGGCCGTTATCGCCATCCTTTCGGTTCTCCCTGCAGCTGATGCAGCTGCCATCCTCAACTTTGAAAACAAGCAGGGTATCATTCCTGATTCCTACATTGTGGTCTTGAAAAATGATATCTCTAGTGATGATTTCAAGTCTCATGTAGCCTGGGCAACTGGTGTCCATAATGCGAATGTTGCTAAACGGGATGTTCCCCTGGCTGGTATGCAGCGTACCTTTGAGATGGACATCTTCAAGGGATACAGCGGAGCCTTTGACCGGGCAACCTTGGATGACCTACTTAAGAACGAACAAGTAAGCATACAACAACACCCATACCTAAAGTATTGCTTATTAACAGTTGATATATAGGTAGACTATATTGAGCCCGATCGTATGGCTAGCGCTCAAGGTTGGACGACTCAGGGAAACGCTCCATCCTGGGGACTGGGGCGTATTTCCCACCAGCAGCGAGGAAATACTGACTACGTCTTTGACTCTACGGCCGGCAGAGGGATAACCATCTACGGGGTCGATTCTGGTATTGATATCCTGCACGCGGAGTTTGGTGGCCGTGCTACTTGGGGTGCCAACTTCTTTAACAATATTAATACCGATGAATTTGGCCATGGAACACATACCGCTGCGACCTTTGGCGGTACTAATTATGGAGTTGCGAAGAATGTAAATATTGTCGCAGTGAAGGTTCTGGGTGACCAGGGCCAGGGACCATGGAGTAGCATCATTGACGGACTCCAGTGGGCTGTCAACGATGCTCGGGAGAAAGGTATCCTTGGTAAAGCAATTATCAACTTCAGTGTCGGCGGCCCGTCATCTAGGGCAGCAGATAATGCTTTGACTGCAGCGCATAATGCTGGCGTCTTTGTTTCAGCTGCTGCTGGAAACGATGGTGTATGTTCTACCTCTGTGATGGCTGCTTGCTGTGACTGCTCGGTTTGTACTGACTAACAGTTGACGTAGGCGGACGCTTTGAACTATACCCCAGGCACTGCTCGATCCATTTGTGTGATTGGAAACATAAATGAAAACGACTACAGATTCACTGGTAATGGAGCGTCCAACTGGGGAACCAGAAGTAAGTTTTACCTTTGATTCCATATTCCGCCCTACATAATTTCCTTATTTCCCTATAACACCCTTTTTAATTTTATATACTTACTCTGCATTCGTTATTTAGTCGATCTTTGGGCTCCGGGTACCGACATCCTATCTGCCTTACCCCAGGGCAGATACGGACCGATGACCGGAACCTCTATGGCCGCTCCCCACGTCGCTGGTTCGGTCGCTATTCTCATGGCTTCCGGAGGGGTCAGCACGGCTGAAGCCTGCGGCGTTCTCAAGGATATGTCAACTCCCTCTGTCATTGAACCTGGTCAGGGCTCGACAAACAGGCTTCTTTACAATGGTTCCGGCCAGTAGACGAACTTAGGTCCTTGATGAAGCTGAATCAAGAGCATGGCGAAGAGGCACACGGATGTTGGCTGCTGGCTTTTAATTCTTTGTAGATAATTGTGAGCCGGTCTCATTTCCTTTAAACCTGAGAGTTCACTTTCTCAGGTACTTGTACCTGTCGTTACCTAGTATATATATCAATTCAAGTAAATAATACTCTACATTCAATGCTGGGATATTTTCCTTATCAGTGTTTGCTTAAGTTTGATTAGAGTTGCTGGTTATATCATTCTAGTGATAGATCCAAAGGTCTACAAGACTGGACTCCTGGATGAATGCAATCAGACTGCTCAGAAAGGGCTTGATCAATGAGAAGAAGCCTCGACCAGTGGTATAAGCTCGATAAAAGGACAGACAGAATACTGCCACATACCTACCAAAGAGGTCCCAACCGTGAATGGTTTATCTGATGAATGGCTGTAAGGAGCCCTTCTCCGTCCTTGTTGAATGAGGCTGATAACTTTACATAGCAGCATCTCTATTTATAGGCCAGTGACATAAAATCAGCGAATGAAAAATAGCAACAAGGCAGCCAATTATACAAGGGTTAAAACCCTATATATTGCATGATTGGTTAATTATAGCAAAAAGGCTGCTATTTATGCAGTCTGCCTTTCTCTTTTCTTTTTCTTTCCTTCTGACTGGCCGAGAGAAGTTCTCTCCATCCAAAAACTCTTCCTTCTGGCGACGACATTCCGATTGGTTTTGCGGTCCAAACCGCAGCTTTTGGATGCCTTGCTGCGGTGGATGGTAGAGAGAGGGAGAGTAGTGACTTGCCTCTTCTTTTCCACAAGATGTCTGAGATTCTCTCTGCTTCATCCTCCTTCAGGAGGATATCCATCATCTTATCTGCTAAAAGCCCCCTTATCTCTTCCCCCGGGTGGTCGAGGGAGAGACCCCCAGCTGCTGCAGCCTTGTGTCCTGACTGTGCCTCATTCATCACTGGAGAGTGAGGGAGTGAGTCTGGAGTGGCCTCTGCCCCTGCAGACGTCTTGCAAAGCAGGTTCAGCTTCTTTGAGGCCTTTCGAGGCCTTTGAGAGCATGGACTTGGGATCTATATAAGATACATATACTCACTGGCCCACTCTCTTGTCCTGTTGGTCGAGTTATCGTTACATATTTCGCTAAGCTGACGACTCTGTCCGTATGCTTGCTCTCTCGACATAGTTCCCTCTACCCTGACGTTTGGGGATATACAAGGGATTGAATGTGATAACGATATATATCATATCCTCCTGTCACTGGATATCCTTCGTCCATCATATCTGGAAGAACGGCAGACCCTACAGCATCGTTCACGCAAGTGAAACAGATATAATGGACTTCAATGACCCGCGTTTCCTTAATTCTTTCCCTCCTCCTGGGCTTACCATACCCCCACAGGAATTCCCCAATGTGGAGGGTAGCCAGAGCCAGAGCCAAAGCCAAAGCCAGACAGAAGCCCTACAAGGGATACAACAGAATGGCGGCTCGTTGATCTCTCATCCAACCTATCCCCTCTCTGTTTCCATTCCCGACCTTGAAACAATCACACAGCCAGCCACCCCTCTACAGCTCTCTGCCTGCGAAGGACAATCTATGTATAGGCAGCCATTGCACAATCAAACGCAGCCTGTCTCCACAGACTGTCCTCCAGGTGCTCCGCCGGCTCCTCCCAACTACTTTACACGTCAACTTAACCCGTATTTTGGTAACTATGTTACGGCTGCGGACATTGAGCAGCAGTCTCGGGCAAATGGCCAACAGCACCAGTTCCAGACACCACAGACAGTATATCAATATGTCGGCCCCATTCAAGATACCGAGCTTCGGACTCGGTCTTTTTCGGACTCGGGATACATATCCAAAGTTTCCACCAGTCAGTCCACCAATGATCCGGTTCGAAATACACCCAAGATGCCATTGACGCCCCAGCCAAACTACTTCATCGCGCCGCCCCGCCCAACGTATATTCCAAATACCCACTACAGTCGAAACCCCCAGCCAGAGGCCAGTCTATTGCCTACTAGGCCCATACGGAAGCCCAAGCCAAAAAAGAGGAGAAAAAAAAGCAAGGTATTTTGTACCGACTGCCCTTGGGAAGGCCGTTGTGAGTCTGAAAAAAGGTAAGTTGGAACAAAACCGACACCTCCCGCAATATTTATGGCACCCGGAACACTAACATGTAACTCCCTTTTCTAGGAAGCATATCCAGCAAAAGCACACGAAGCCATATGGATGTCACATTGGTGACTGTCCCAGAAGTTTTGGGTCCTCAAGTGACCTGAGGAGGCATCGGTTAAGCTGCCATCCGACTGATCGGACCCCAAAATTTAAATGTTTCGCAAGCAAGGCATGTGCAGAGAGCTCAAAAACATTCAGTAGAAAGGACAATTTTACCACTCATCTTAAAACTCACAAATTGAGTGAGGAACAAATATCAGAGCAGTTAGTGTTTTCCAACAAGTGGCTCTTCAACAACGTTAGGAGGGAGTTAGGTAATGTCGCAGGGCATCAGGGGACTAGGCAGCAACCTACAAGCTTACTTGAAGGGCCTGCTGGAACTCACCCGCCTCAGCTACAAGACACTGCAAGCCTTAATGCTGGCCCATCGTTTCGGCCTGGTCCCGTGGGCTTCAACCCGCCGACAACAGATCCGGTATTGGAGACGACCGACGGGTTTGACTTAACGGAGGGCTTAGGAGATAGTATGGAGAGCCTCATGACGGGCCTTATCACCAACAGCAGGGACCTCAATGCCGTCACTACGAGCCTAGATCCAAATCCGGACCTGGGGCTTGAGGGCTCGCTCCAAAACAATAGTATTAGCAGCCCAAATCAACGGCCGCCAAATCTAGGTCTCCGCCAAAGCGAACATTCTGATGAAATGGAGCGATCTCTCAGGGACATTGAAACAAAGTTTCAGCAGCCAGTAAGTGTATAATATTCTACCTCCTTCTAATTAACCGGTCTACCACCGATCCGCTAACATTGACATTAGTCGACCACTAAATCTGTAGTTGATAAAGAAAGGTACCAATGCCTCAGGCCAGGATGCAATTTTTCCTGCAAAATGCCGTCAATTCTAAGGTAGATAGCTCTTCTTATCAGACTAGACCATACAACTCAGCCTGGCTAACTAATTCTATCAAAAAAACTCAGGAAACATGTCAAACGACACAGCAAGCCTTATGGCTGTACGTTCAACGATTGCTACAGGATCTTTGGAAGCAAGGCGGACTGGAAACGCCATGAATCTGCACGCCACACACATCTTGAGTGCTGGCGCTGTGGTGACCCTGATATAGCCGACCCCTCACGGAATTGCGCTCGAATGTTCGAACGTAAAAACTCATACAAAGCCCATCTTAAGACTCATGGGGTTGATGACGAAGTCGAAGTACAGCACCGCCTCTATACCAACAACCTTGGTGGAGATTGTCAGTTCCGATTTTGGTGTGGTTTCTGCAAGGTTTTGATCCCGGTGACCACTGAAGCATTCGATGCTTCAATCGAAAGGTTTGATCACATCTACAAGGAACATTTCGAAAAGGGGGAAGATATCTCTAGCTGGGTTCTACCAGATGGCCATCTCACTAAAGGTGAAGCACACCGACAGGCTCTCGAAAAAGCCTCAGTGTCTACTGACAGCGGGACGGAATCGACAGTATCTGAGAATGGAGACGGTAATCTGCCTCTTGATGATTCTCAGCAAAGTCAATTAGCCGCAACCTCTTCACAACAGGGAGGCCGTCGAATTCGAACCTTTAGAGCAAGTTCAAGAGGCACACGATCGCGGGTCTCTAGATCTCCGTCTGCAAATCGGAAGAGAAGACGCGTACACAGCAGGCCTGCCTCACAGTGCCCTTCCACGGCTATGCAAGATGCAGCCACAGGATCACAGCTACAGGATCAGTTTCCAGTTGTGCAAGATACAGGAGCTACAGAATCACAGCCACAGGGTCAGTTTCCAGTTGGGCTTGCAAGCGTCCCAGAAGCCGACATGTTCAGCTTTAGCGACTACATCAACGTCGATCATCAATTTGATTGGCCTTGGCCTTCTCTATCTCCAGCTGATCTTCCTTAAACTTATTCTCATTCTATTCACAATTCATGATTTTGATCTTTTCTTATAAAACAAAAAATAATATATCCCGGTTATACCAGAAACCGCTCATATATGATTTTTGATCTGATATTGATTTAGTTTTTTCTTAATTCTGCTTCTTTATCTGCATCCTCATTGTCTTTCTTTCTTTTGGTCACAAAAATATGCCGGGTCCCTCCTGCGAATTGGAATATAACAACATCAGCTTCCATTAGACCATTCAAGCCGTGTTTATAATGATTTCCCTGTTCAACATATAAATTCCTACCTTGGGCACCTACACGATTATATGATAGCATGTGTGTTTCATTGATTTATGTCTTATTTGCTAAATTTTCCTGAGCGTTTGGATATTTTTCACGGTTAGAGTGCGAATTGACCCCAGAAGCTCCTCCACTGCTGCCAGCAAATACTATCAAGTCCAAGCTACACATCTCTGCTATTCCCAAATTCAACACTTGGAATTGGTATGGCTGGCTAATCATGGCGGCAACTTTGTTATGCCTGCGCATGGACAAGCACTTAGCGACTTGCTTATATACGAGGAAATAAACTAATATTGAGGCATATGTTAGGGTTGTGATATATCACAACTTCGACTCGTCTTCTTTCTCTCCAATTAGCTCCATGAAACTTCCGTGGACTTCTTCAGTTAGGTCACCGGCCTGCATACTTCGGCCCTTCGTTAGGAATGCCCTCCTCGAACATTCCCGTGTGATTGCGCTTCCAGCCCATGCGGCGAGTAGTAGAGTAGTCTTCCTAGACATTTTATTGCCACCATTGTAACTGTCCCCGTATAATTCCTTTTCAATCATTTCAGCGCTATGTCCTGAGCCATCGTCGTTGCTTGGACTGCATCCGTCCTCCCAGAGTCCGTCATGGTATGCTTTCCTCCATGCCATAAATGTCCCCAGGGAGCCCGTAAGGGTATCACCTTGCCCACCACTTCGTTTTCTGCCACCCTCAACATCAGAAATAACGGACACATCACCATTGGAAATCACGTCATGAGGGCCTTTCTGAATAATAAGGACACCGCCAAGAGCTCTCGATAGGCGCTCGCATGCTTCTGATGCAGACTTATCTTTATCCACGCCAGATTTCCCGTCATTCGCTGGAGGATCCAGACCAACTGATTTGCTAAGTCGTGCAAATTCCACCACGTTCGGGGTTAATATACATTCATCATAACCATGGATTAGTTTCGGGTCGTTTTGAACTAGTACCAAGGCATCGGCATCCATAACAAGTGCGACTTTTTGCTTAATCGCCTCTTTGATCACACCTGCAGTTATCTTTTGGGTCAAGGGGTCACGACCGAGGCCTGGGCCAATAACAAGGACGTGAAGACGGGGTAAAAAGTCAAGAATCGGCTTGACGTGGTCAGAGATGTTATTGCTGGCGTTTCCATTCCCCACACTTGAGGTACTCTGAAGAATTGGATGAACCATCAGATTTGGCGAGTAGGTTTTGATCACAGTTGCAGCGGACGGCTCGCATATAACATGACTCTTTCAGCCGAATCTCGTTAACCGTAACATTCTCTATAAATCTGTGTATACCGCCTTACCATGTCGCATCCTATTTTGATACTGTTAGTACTGACATGAATCAATAGGGATGGAAGCAAACTTGCCTAGCTTGGCTGATGCCATTGCTGAAAAGTAAGGGGCTCCTGTATAGCTACATGAGAAGTCTCAAACGTCAACAGCGGTATCTTTTGTTATCTCCCTGTATAGAGATGCCAACTACTATGATCAATAGCAACTCCATGCTTCTCAATTCAAGAAAATGATATTGGCCGTATTAATAATGGAATCCAGGGGTATAACAGGGGAGCCTACTCAGCACTTCCTCCTATAACGCAAACACGGCCAAGTTGTCCTATACATGAATATCAGCATATAATCAAACAATGTCTACTCTAGCTAACCCTCCAAAAATATGTCAACAGCAAAAGTGATACTACAACTTACCCTTATGAAACCTTTCTAACATTGGCGGGACAATTTTACGGACCTTGCTGAGGATAGTTTTCGAGGTCGATGACATCTTTGGAGGCGCTGGCGGAGACATGGGAGAAGAATGATGCGTTATAAAGAGGTTTATTGTATATATTCAACCCGTAAGCGGCATCTGTATAAGTGAGGATGATGGACGAGATGTTGATGGAGTGTAGTTGTTCAAACAAAGTTGGCCAGTTATGATGTCACCAGGTTGGTTATCGATAACTGTCTCAGTATCCCAGGTGCATGATGGCGGTAGGGAACAAGGAATAATGTAAATAACTAGGAGTTATACGGCCCAGTATTGATTAGAACCAGGTGTAAAAAATAACTATGTAACAAAAGCCTCTGATCTCAAGCGCCTAGGAAAAGCCAACGAAGTGCTCATGGCGCCATGCTCCCTCCATGCCATAACAACGAAAAGACCAAGACATCGTGCAATCATACAGAGAGAGAGAAAACGTCGCTAAACCAAGTGACAAATGGATATTGAACATCGCTAAAACCGCAGGCCCAGTCACTAAGGGTAAAAAAACAAAGCGTGGACGTAGGGATATATGTAGGTTTAGAGGGTGGGTGTAGCAAAAATAATAGGAGAAAACTCGTTCTAGCGCCGTGATTTAGCCAGAGCATTCAATTTCATCTTGCGCTCCATCTTTTCCTTCTTTGCTGCCATCTCGAGCCTTAGTTCTTCGGCGTCCTCTTGCTTGGCAATTCGAAGGGCAGCCTGCTCTTCCTGTTCAACGTCAAGGAAGCCTGCTTCCATGTCGGATTCGTCGGAATAATCGTGCTCGTCTTCATAACCGTAGTCGCCTTCGTCTTCTTCGTCCGTACCTAGGTACTCGTTTCGAGTAACGCTACGGGCGTTGTTTCGGCCATATTTACCTTCTTTCCCTGGAGCACGACGAGACGGTAGTCCAGATGTGCCTGTATACGCTGGCTCTGACGACTTGGATGGAGGCAGACTGCCTGGGCGTGGGCGAGCAGTGCCTTTGTATGACTCTTGTTTGTTTCCTTCAGCTTGACGGGCTTTCAAGATGGCTTCTTTGGTGCTCCTTAAGGGAACCGCAGCTCCGGCTTTGTCCGTCGATAACTTTCTGTTTGATGGATCTCGCTCCCTTTGTTTAGCTTCCTCTGTCATTTTCTTTTGCTGCACCTTGCTCTTCTTATCCTTGGGAACAGCCTGGTGCCTAATCAGCCCAACGGAGGCCGGTGCCTTGGTCTGCAGAGCCTTTGCCTCCGCCATGATTGCTGCATAGGAGCCCTTTGGAGGTGGCTTCGACGAGACAGGAGCAGCACTGGACTTTGCTGGGGTGGATTTTGATGCATTTGCGGCCGATGGCGCCACCTTCAGCCCAGGTTTACGAGCACCTTCGCTAGGCTGGCGTGGGGCAGGTGTAGAAGACTGAGATGAGGCTGACCGCTCAGGTAACGACCTTGGAAACCGCTCATTCCGGGGAGCCGGTCGTGCCAGCTGTTCTCCTGCCTTTCGTTTCTGGGCTGTCCCTGTATAGCCATTATTATTGCTGCTGATAGAGGTTGCTGCCAGCTTCGAGTTCAAGGAGGGTTTCTGGCCCGAGGATGTCGAGTCCGGAGTTGTGCTTTTAGGTGGGGGAGGCGGGGTGAGAGACACCTCCCCGGTCTCAATAGATGATAGAACGGAGTTTAGAAACTGGTTGGTAAGATATGTCAGCCATATGCAGTTGCAGAACACGCTGGCTTCACTGTATTGTTTAAGACTCACACTCATTGTAGCAAGGTTGGGTTTGATATTATATGGATTTCAGTGTATAGATAAGGTAGAAACCGGCCACCAGCGACGACTGGAGTTTGGAAATAACTCATGATTCCCAGGTACGGAGTCACCTCATAGCGAGAAGAGTCCGTTTCGTTGATCTTTATAACGGACTAGAAGCGTTTCATATAGGGCCCGGCAGGGGGGGCTTAGGGGCGCTTGTGAGCAGGTCTCAGGCAGCAGTTGGGGGCCTGGAGAGACGCTGAAAAGGGGTAGAGTGTCGGCAACGGTCGCGGCACCAGGATGGTGACAGGCAGCAGCAGGTCAGGACGTCGTGAGCGCTGAGTGTTGAGTTGATGAGCTTCACCACCAAGAGGATTCTCAAACGACGTATTTATAGAAAAAAAAAAGAATAAAAATAATGGAAAAAAGAAGAAAAAAAAAAAAGAAAACAAGGTTTTATTATGTCATCATGGTGACTCAAAGTAGACTAGCGCCACTTCCTCGGTTACTGTGTGTATTACATAATCCCACTTTTGCTCTTTTGAGCAATTTTTGGTCTTTTTTTCTAATTGATTTTCTTTTCTCCAAACAAACGACATCGCAACGCCTGAACTTGACGTCTCAGTCTCCGCCCAACTCGCGGTTAAATCGATTGTTTCTCTTGTTCACAGATACATCTTACCGGTAGGGGATTGCTCTCTCTCCATCGAGACCAGGGAAGAAGAACGGCTGAGAACTAATGCATATATAGAAAACACATATCAAAAATGAAGCATCTCGCAGCTTACCTTCTCCTCGGCATTGCCGGAAACTCCTCCCCCTCCGCCAGCGACATCAGCGCTGTTCTCTCTTCCGTCGGTATCGATGCTGACGATGATCGCGTTGAGAAGCTCCTTTCTGAGCTTGAAGGCAAGGACATCCAGGAAGTAAGTTATTTCCCCACCAGTTACGGTGTGCGCACGATCCGGGTATGTATGACATGGAGCATTGGCTGATATGCTGCTTTCTGTTGCATAGTTGATTACCGAGGGTGCCACCAAGCTCGCCTCCGTCCCATCTGGCGGTGCCGGCGGTGCTGCCGCTGCTCCTGCCGCTGGTGGTGCTGGTGGTGAGGCTGCTGCTCCTGCTGAGGAGGCCAAGAAGGAGGAGGAAGAGGAAGCCTCTGACGAGGACATGGGCTTCGGTCTCTTCGACTAAGCGCATCCAGTCTCAGATACCAAAAGGAGAAAATAAAAAGAAAATCGCAGCAGTGAAAAGCTCGTTCGGCGTGTTAACAGCAATGAGGATGGCTAGAACTCAGTTTGACGGGAAAACTCTTTTAAAATGTTTATGGACACGGATGAACTGGGCTTGGAATGACCGAGTAACGACCCGTCTTGTTAGATAAGGAGGAATTGTTACATGTTTCTATGACGCAGGCTTATCGTCTGCCAACGCCATCACAATGCAATCCGCCTTACAGCATCCTGCTAAACCTGCATCCATACCTACATACCAACTAAGTAGCTCCAGCCAATTTCCGTACTCTCCTATCTATACATGTAAATGCCCGTCAACGGCTTGATAGCGGAAAATAGTTTGTCCGATACCGAGTAGGGCTACTTACCTAATCAGGCCACTTAGGGCTAAAGTCGCTTAGCCGAATTTGACTCTTTCCACTCCGCGACCCAAACCGACTTTTTCGACGTCGAGAAAGAAAACGAGACAGACAAACCAACCTTTTGACAGTTTCTCCCCCTTCTTCTATCCAAGGGCAAGCCAGCGTTGCTGAGAGAACAAAGACCGCAATCATGGCTGACACCGAATATGTGAGTGACCAGGTCCGTAGCGCTTCATGGGACTTGCGACTGACTGCTCTTTATAGAACGCTGAGGAGGCTGCCGGTACGTGCTAGATGGCCCCGAGACACTCACCTGGAGGGATCGAGAGAACGGTTTATGGTGGATTTGTTGGGATACGTTGATGGAGCGTGGAAGAGTACGATTACTGACGAAACTGGGCCATCAACAGAGATCAAGAGAAAGAGAGCCTTCCGCAAGTTTTCTTACCGTGGAATCGACCTTGACCAGTACGTTATGGCCTTCGATTTGCAGCATTCAACAGCTACCCAGCATCTTTACTCCCTTATCATACATATGCGCGCCAACAGTCAGATAAAAGAGGATTTACGATCTAACGAATAACCCCCTGCAGGCTCCTTGACCTCAGCTCCGAACAGCTCCGCGATGTTGTCCACGCCCGTGCCCGCCGCAGATTCAACCGCGGCCTCAAGCGCAAGCCAATGGGCCTGATCAAGAAGCTCCGCAAGGCCAAGCAAGAGGCCAAGCCCAACGAGAAGCCAGATCTCGTCAAGACACACTTGCGTGACATGATTGTCGTACCAGAGATGATCGGAAGCGTCATCGGTATCTACTCTGGAAAGGAGTTCAACCAGGTTGAGATCAAGCCCGAGATGGTTGGTCACTATTTGGCTGAGTTCTCTATCTCATAGTACGTCTCTGTTACTGTTCATTTTTGGAGGGGGAGCCAAATCTAACCACGTATTACCTTGTTTTTTTAGCAAACCCGTCAAGCACGGCCGACCCGGTATCGGTGCCACCCACTCTTCCCGTTTCATTCCTCTCAAGTAAACGAATAATCTGCACGCAACTTGACGTTTTGTACTGGGGCATGTCAAAATGTTTTTTTTATCTTCTCTTACATGGGGTAAAACGGATGGGGTTCTTGCTTTGTATGGAAGGGCTTTATATCCAGAACCCCTCTTCTCCCAAGTCCATGTAACGGCATAGAAAATGGTGGAGCTCTTGGAGAGAACAGCTTTTATCATCACCATGCCAACCCGCGGCTAGATTTATGATTTTAATGTATCTAGCAAAAATTCATTCCATACAACCAGTATCTCTTGCAAGTCAACCCAGTAAACAGTAGATACGTACTATCCGGCTATACAAAATAAGCCTGCATCTTATCCATCAACCTCGAGCGTTTCCTGTGCTATCTTATCGAGTTTCTCCCAGTCAGGGGCCATGGCTTTGGCCGCTGAAGGGGTAGATGGATCGTAACCAATTTCCCTGACAGGAGCAATCAGATCCTCGTAATCTGCCTCGAACATCGCGGCAACAGTAGGCAGCTCATAATCCAGGTTCTTGTTTAACTTGGCGAGAATACGATAAACGATCGATACTGGATCGAAATGGTATTTGCTATCCTTAGGCATCGCATCCGAGTGTTTGTGATAGAGCACTGTGACTAGTTGTGAGAGTATATAAGCATGGTTGTTGCGGATGGGATGCCACTCTTGCGGGTATAACACCGGGTCTACGAACAGGTATCGCACGGCGCTGTGTTGAAGGGCAGGCCAGAAGCTCTCAATCTGCAGAAGCGCTACGATCAGCTCAGACCGGATTTGCGGGTATGGCTGCCGGGTGATAGGCCACATTTTGGTATCGTGTAGTATCTTGATGGCGGCCTTGAGCTGTCTCACTGCAAACACCGGTCTGGCGTTCTTTGCAGAAGCGAGAAGCTCCTGTGCCTGCTTTTCTGCCTCCTTGAGGGTCTCGATATCATTTGATGGAGGAGAAGCCGGGATAAACTGGTCTTCTCTGGCTTTATCCCCCTGAAGACACTTGGAGCATCTGCAGGTAAAAAAGTATCGTTCGGCAAGCTCCTTTTGCCGAATTTCAAAAGGATTAGTGTTGTCGATGTAGGATATGAACACCTGCTCGTCGGGTTCGATCGTTCTCAGAGCTTTGACGGTGATTCTTCCTTCGTCAAAGCCGACAACTGCGTTGGGATCGCAGCTGTGGTTGACAAAGCAAGCAAACGGCTGGATGCAGAGCCCTAGAGGGTCACCAAACGGGGTGGTGAAGGTGAAGCCGTTGACTTCAATCTGTTTACCCGTGCGAGATCAGTACGCCGTGATTCTTCGTCCTGGGGGTAAGTATACCTTTGCCAGATATTCGGCGATAGTCTCGATATCGAGGTCAGAATGTGAGTATTCCTTCTCCGCCTTGGCGCAGAGCATTATACGCTCGTACTGCTCCTTGTTCGTCTCTGCAATCTCCTTGAAATGTGAACGGAGAGATCGAAACATGCCCAGGTCCTGCTGGACGTCTGGTTGCTTCGAGCTTCTCAGCTTAAGGATCCGAAGCACCGCCCTTGAATTGACAGGGAGAACTTTTGGGTAAAGGCGTTTGTATGTTGCGCATTCATGTTTATGTATGGCCGCCCAGTTTTCGGTTTGGCATCCCTATACTGTCTCTTAGCACAGCTGTCTCTTGCAGCTCCTGGGCATGCCTCACCTTGCCGCAGTACTTGACTACCCTGCAGCCGGTGCAGAACCTCAGTTTGATGCCGACATCTGCCATGACATTAGCTGCGAACGGAGCATTTGCGAAGCAGTTCGAGCATGCATCCGCCAGCCTCTCTGTGCTTAGCACGGTAGAGAATGTTGCGGGCAGATCAAACACGGCCTGGCCCGTTTTGACAGTGGACGTTGCGAAAAGGCCTGTCCCAGCACCGCCCGGCGCCGTCCTTGGGACGGCAGAAGCCTCGATCTCCATCCTCGTGGCTGTTCGGATACTTATTCCTGGTTACCTGACGTACCTGATGTGTAGTTGATAAGATTAGTTTTATAGTTACTTGCGATGGATGTACTATGTCTGAACAATCGAGCTTCAAGGACAACTTGAGTAGTCCTACTTGTAGAGAAACGTTGGATAATATCAATGGGCTTCCATACACACTTGGATATGCTTCGAGAGCAGCTCTATCACCTATAACTTCGGTGCGAGAGACTTCGACTGTCCTACACTGCTGCCGCAGTCTCAATAGCTGACACGGCCGTAGTACGCCAGTAACCTATGGTCTATCATAAGTCTGTATGTTGTCACTTTATACGTCCAATCGGAAGAGACGCATCACATGACCAAGCCCTAGCCTTGATATCAAAGCGAGTCGACAAGACGACGAGCGTTTCGTTCGATGGACAACGAAGCCAGCGCCTTTGATGCCCGCTGAGCGCAACAGTTGGACTGCCGGACCCTGCACGGATAATATATATACCATAATACAGCCGCTATGCTCGCTTAGGCCCTCTCCACCACCGTCGACAACCCAAATACCGCCTGCTTCCCCTGTTCATTTAGCCTTCGAGGCCATCGCCCGCTCCACCTACAGTGTTATATCACGTGATATCAACCATGTATACGATGGCGTTCTACGAGAACGAGCCTGATCGGGGGCTTCACCTGGGACGGACGATATGTGTGCTCTGTAGACAGACGGCGAGCCCTGGGAGTCTTGTCCTTGGTCTGCTCCCTTGCGTTCCCCCCTGGCCGTGACGGGTCTGGCTAACATGTGTAGATTTGCGTGGACACGAGTTTACGGTCCCGGAGTGTGAGCGGATGTGCGTGCGGTGTCGGATAGTCCCGAGCCTGGAGTTCTGGGCCCATGAGCTCTGCTTTCGCCTCCTGGAAACCAGCTACGAGTCCAACAAGCCCGTGCTTGGCGATATACTGAAGTTTGGACGGGCAGTCAAGCCCCAGTACAAGGATGGAGAGAGTGCTAATGCTGCGTCGTCCTGGGAGGGCCTCTTCAGCCACTATGCAAAACCCATCATCGAGAGCACCCTCGGACCAGGCCGGCTTGAAAGGCTGCCGACGGAGATCCAGATCATAATCTCGGATTTTGTCAGCCCATGCTGGTACTTGACGGTGCTTGGTGAGACCCGCCGGCTGGTAGAATTGACACGCAGCTCTTCTCACAGCGGTCAGCGTGAAAGTCTCAGCCTGACGGGGGATATCTACCTGTCCAGAATAAGCTATCAAGGCATCTCCTACATTAGCAGGATCAGCCACATGCCACTGGAACCACAGCCACTGGAACCACAGCCGCTGGAACCACAGCCGCCCGACAGCTCTGATCATCAGCACCTGAAGCTGCCCGCCCACGCAAGGAACCTTATCTTATCAAAAGATCACATTGGCCTGCGCAACATACAGTTTGTGGATGAAAATTCCCGCCCGTCAGCAGACAAGTCGCCATGGTACGAAGTGATCAAGCTGCTCCCAGACCCCTGCAATGAGTTGCATGTTGTCTCCAATGTAAGCTCTTTTCGTCCCAGCACGTTTGTCTACGGCCGGCTAACGTCTGACCAGGGGCTCTTCGTCAGAGAACTCGTGCCCTCCCTGGGCGAGGCATACGACATATCCAGAACCTGGAGCTCCCCGACCCCGCCAGAATATCGGCCGTGGAACACCGTTGGGGTTCCGGCCGGTCACTATCTGGACTACGTGAAGCTTGACGACGAGAGGGTCCAGGGACTCGTCGTCTGTTGCTCCGACTCCACCAACCTGGGGTTTTACGGCTACTCTGGCATGTCGAAGTCGTTCAGGAAGTTCGTTGCCCTGATGAGTCGGAAGCAGTTTTCCAAGTTCTGGCTCTTTTTCCCGATTAATCGCGGCGAATCGATCCAGGCGGCGTGGATCCAATCGCTGAAAGATTGCGCAGCTTACTTTTCACACCACAGACTGGTCGTAAGTAACGTGCTTTATTCACATATTTACAACTCATTACATATTTACAACTAACTCACCACGTACAGGTTCAAACTACTCTTGGAAGAACCGCTACGTTCGGCCCCCATCTTCTCGCCGATCTGCGAGAGCAATACAAATTCAACTCTCTGCTGAAAGAGGACGACGGGGTCATATCCGGACTCTTCCACGACGGCTTAGATCCGGGACGCGCAGAGGTGTCGGAGTTTGGAGTAACATGCACCGAAAACAACGGCACCCGGGCCAAACCCGTCTACCCGCCCTTCGACACGCAGCTCGAGCTCCCCATGTCGTACGAGGGCATCCGGGCTCTGAACTGGTTCATGACCAAGGCTCCTCTGCACGGGCTGGTGAGGGTTCGAGCCTGTCGGGACCAGACGCAGATGCATGCCCCGTACATCGGCGTGCTGCTGTACTACGACGACTGCCGGGTTGAGTCGGCCGGACAGTTTCGTTGGGACATGGATGTCTCGCTCGAAGTCTCTGTGCCCGTCTGTATCAGACAGAGCGATGTCAACGGCAAGGGCTACGTCAAGGACATCAGGAACCGCGCGGAGTGCGATATGGCTGGTGATGGCGACGGCGAGTGGCTGGAGCTGCCGCGGTCGGGGCTTATCGCCTGGTGGTTTGGTACGTTGGGTAATGTTTTATGTATACACTAGGCTACCTTACCTTTACCTTATACTTCTACCTTATACTTCTACTTTATACTTCTACTTTACACTTCTACTTTATACTTAATATGAACTCATAAGTCGACAATTTTAGAGCATGAATTAACTTCGACGGTAACTCAGTTTGCAATAAGCTTAAACTAAGTCTATCAGACATAACACGCTGTCTGCACTGAGATATAACTAAAGAAGACCAGAAGAAGAAGAAGAGAAGAAGAAGAAGAAGAAGATGGCGCCGAAATAAGACGAGATGGAAGAAGACTTTTTTACCGGCGCTGATGGCCTAGTAGTACACGGTGGATGGATTAGATCAGTTTCCGTCCGACAAAGTTGGACCAGCTGCGGACTTCGGACGGTATGCCTTCTTTGCGGGGGAGTTTCTCGCTCATGCACTGTGCGAAGAGCAGGGCGGTCTATACCGGGTTAGCAGATGAAGTCAGGTAAGGAGAGAAGAAAGTCAGGTAAGGAGAGGAGAGAGCTACCTTCGGCTCCATGAAGAGCGGCACGCCAAAGTCGACGGCGTTCCGACGCATGACGTAGTTCTCGTCGAGGAGATGCTTGCTTCGCTCGCGGGCAATGTTGAATACACCCCGGATGTCGTTCTTTGCAAACACCTCTCGCAGGGCACGCTTGTCCTGCTTGGGGAACTCGATGATGTCCACCTTGACGCCCTTGCTCTGGACGCTGGATTCGAGGAAGTTCTTGACCTGTGCGCTGGCGGCGTAGAGCTTGTAGCCGAGCGGGTGCAGGTAGTCTACTATCCTGGGCAGCTCGGACATGGTGGTGTCGCCGCCGAAGAGGAGGCCTTCGCCGGGCTCGGGCATGCGGAAGTTCATGGTGGACTGGAGCGAGGCCCAGTACGCTTCCGTCAGGTCTTTGCCGAAACAGGCGATTTCTCCGGTGCTGGCCATCTCGACGCCGAGGAAGGGGTCGGCGCCGGCGAGACGGGTCCAGCTGAACTGCGGCACTTTGGTGGCCAGGTAGGGTCTCGGCTCGGCCATGAGGTCGGTGGGCTCGGGCACGTCTCTGCCGACGAGGGCCTTGGTGGCCGCGTCGATGAAGTTTGTCCCGAGGACCTTGCTGACGAAGGGAAAGGAGCGGGAGGCGCGCAGGTTGCATTCGATGACCTTGAGGCAGGGCTCGCCGCCGTCCGGGCTGTGGGCCTTGATGATCTGCATGTTGAAGGGGCCGGTGATGCTGAACGCCTTGGCGACGCGCTGGGCGATCTGCTTGACGCGCGCGAGGACGGCGGCGTCGAGGGTTGCGGGCGGGAGGACGAGGGTTGCGTCTCCGGAGTGGACGCCGGCGGGCTCGATGTGCTCGCTGACGGCGTGCAGGATGAGGTTGCCGGCCGAGGCGACGGCGTCGACGTCGATCTCCTCCGCGCCCTCGATGAACTTGGTGATGACGACGGGGTGGTCGGGGGAGACGGAGCTGGCGGAGAGCAGCTTGGCCTGGAGCTCGTCGCGGCTGTAGATGACGCTCATGGCGGCGCCGGAGAGGACGTAGCTGGGCCGGACGAGGACGGGGTAGCCGACGGCGTCAGCAAAGGCCTCCGCGTCGGCGACAGAGGAGAGCTCCTTCCAGGCGGGCTGGTCGACGCCGATGCTGTCGAGGATCTGGGAGAACTTGTGGCGGTCCTCGGCCCGGTCGATGTCCTCCGGGTTGGTGCCGAGGATCTTTGCGCCGCCGGACTGCTGGAGGCGGAGGGCGATGTTCTGGGGCAGCTGGCCGCCGACGGAGACGACGACGCCGCTGGCGTGCTCGAGCTCGTAGATGTCCATGACGCGCTCGTAGCTGAGCTCCTCGAAGTAGAGCTTGTCGGCGGTGTCGAAGTCGGTGGAGTAGGTCTCCGGGTTGTAGTTGATCATGACGGTCTTCTTGCCCATGTTGCGCAGCGAGAGGGTGGCGTTGACGGCGCACCAGTCGAACTCGACGGAGCTGCCGATGCGGTAGACGCCGCTGCCGAGGATGATGGTGCCGTGGTCGTCGAAGGAGACGTCGTGGGAGGAGGCGTTGTAGGTGGTGTAGAGGTAGTTTGTGTCTGCGGGGAACTCGGCGGCGAGGGTATCGATCTTCTTGACCCAGGGGTGGATGCCGAAGCTCTTGCGGCGGGCGCGCACCTCGTCCTCGGTCGAGCCGACGCAGAGGGCGATCTGGCGGTCGGAGAAGCCCATCTTCTTGGCCTCGAGCAGGACGGACTTTTGCAGCCCGAACAGGCTCCCGATCTGCTGCAGGGAGCGGTGCATGTCGACGATGTTCTGCAGCTTGTAGAGGAACCACCTGTCGATCTTGCTGAGCTCGTGGACGCGGTCGACCGAGTAACCTTCGTGGAGCATGGCCTGGCCGACGGCGAGCCAGCGGCGGTCGGTCGGGTTGGCGAGGACGTCGTCGAGGCTGCCGTCGAACTTGTCACCTTGAAAGCCGATGAAGCGCGGGTCGACCTGGCGGATGGCCTTCTGGAAGGACTCCTCGAAGGTGCGTCCGATGGCCATGACCTCGCCGACGGACTTCATGGAGCTGCCGATGTCGCGCTTGACGTGCTGGAACTTGCTCAGGTCCCAGCGGGGGATCTTGGTGACGATGTAGTCGAGGCTGGGCTCGAAGTTGGCGGTGGTCGTCTTGGTGACGGCGTTGGGCAGCTCCGGCAGGGTGTGGCCGAGGGCGATCTTGGCCGCGGTGTAGGCGAGCGGGTAGCCGGTGGCCTTGGAGGCGAGGGCGGAGGAGCGGGAGAGACGGGCGTTGACCTCGATGACGCGGTAGTCGAGGCCGTCCGGCTGGAGGGCGTACTGGACGTTGCACTCGCCGACGACGCCGAGGTGGCGGACGATCTTGATGGCGGCGGTGCGCAGCATGTGGTACTCTTCGTCCGATAGGGTCTGGCTGGGGGCGACGACGATGCTGTCGCCGGTGTGGATGCCGAGGGGGTCGAAGTTCTCCATGTTGCAGACGGTGATGCAGTTGTTGCTGGCATCGCGGACGACCTCGTACTCGACCTCCTTCCAGCCCTTGAGCGACTTTTCGACCAAGATCTGGGGGGCCAGCGTGAGAGACCGCGAGGAGAGGTCCCTGAGCTCGTCCGGGCCGTTGGCGAAGCCGGACCCCAGGCCACCGAGTGCGTAGGCCGAGCGTACGATGATAGGATATCCGATCTTGGAGGCGGCCTCGAGGGCGTCGTCGACGGTGCTGACGGCGATGGACTCCGCGATGGGGATGTCGATCTCCTTGAGGGCTTTGGCGAAGAGGTCTCTGTCCTCGCTGGTCTCGAGGGTGCGGATGCTGGTGCCCAGCACCCTGACGCCGTAGCGGTCGAAGGCGCCCATGCGGTTCATCTGGACGCCGAGGTTGAGGGCGGTCTGGCCCCCGAAGGCGAGGAAGATGCCATCCGGACGCTCGCGCTCGATCACGTAGGAGACGTATTCAGGGGTGACGGGCAGGTAGTAGACCTCGTCCGCGAGCTTGTGGTCGGTCTGTATGGTCGCGATGTTGGGGTTGATGAGGACGGACTTGACGCCGGCCTCTTTCAGCGCCTTCAACGCCTGGGATCCTGCGGACGTCAGCATTGATACTGATAGGTATATAGAGTAGAAGATAGAAGATAGAGTAGAAGATACCAGAGTAGTCGAACTCGCCGGCCTGGCCGATGCTGAGGCCGCCGCTGCCGATGACCAGGACCTTCTTGACGTCGACGAGCTGGCTGGCGGGCTGCGAGAGGCTGCTCGGGGAGACGAAGTGTCTGCACTGTATCCTCTCCGTCTTCACCGTCCTCTCCGTCCTCAATGCGTTCGCTGTGTTGGATGTCCTCAATGTGTTCACTGTCTGTGGTCGTGTGATGGCTGTGGAAAAAGACCTGGAAAAAGGCCTGGTGGAGCGCAGCCTGAGCAGGGATGCGAGCGACCGCCCGCGGGCACTGAGAGCCATGGAGTATCAAGTAGATGAGATGAGGATGAGATGAAGATGAAGAGAAGAAGAGAGAGAGAGAGAAGGACAGAAAGTCGAGGTGTCGGTGTAACGAGTTTTCCTTGTCTTTGTGGGCTAGTTAAGCGTGAGCCTAGCGGGCGCCATGAGTCATAGAAGTGGAAGTGGAAGATAGAGAAGAGAGAGAGATGTTGATGTAGAGAGAAGAGTAGACAGTGAGAGATGTAGAGTGGAAGAGTTGTAGATGTTGTAGATGTAGATGTGATGTTGAAGTTGAGATGTGTAGATGGTGAGGCTGAGATGTAGCAGTAGGAGTAGCAGTGGCAGAGAGCAGAGAGCAGAGAGCAGAGGTTGGCTTCTCTCTCTCTCTCTCTATGCTGACTCTCTCTGCTTCTCTACAGACTCTCAGCAAGTCACAGATGAAGTATTAGAAGTAGTAGAAGTAGTAGAGTCAAGCCTGAGCTATCCTCTGACTTCATGACTGAGGCATCCGACCAGACATCTAGAGTACATAGAGTACAAGACTATGAGTGATTGATACGACGAGATGGATCTTCCACCTGGTGTCAAGTGTCTTCCATCGAGCATCTTCAGAGCATAAGAGGTCTTCTGTGCATCTTCTCGAGCAGACATGAATCTCTCGGTGGCTCTCGGTCTCTACTTCACGACTGAAGACAAGACTCCAGCCACCTCGATCAGTCGAGACATCGCAGCATCGTTAACGGACACCTCTAAGGAACCAAAGAGTCCACCGTCTGGATCTGGATCAGGCATCTAACTCGCAGTGCTGTCGATGTCAACACTGTTAACGCACGCAGTGGTGATATTAATGCGTCAACGGGATGGGATGCTGATGCTGTCGATGTCAACACCGTCAACGGGATGCTGATGCTGCCGATGGCGAGACGGTGTCTAGCATGTCTCATCCATTGGATCTCGCACTCCAGTTCTAATCATAACATCATGTAGCCACAGAGTCTATCCATCGTATATGCTTGTCTGCCGGGCGACGTGGACTGGCTCTACATCCACGATCCGCCATACTACCGACTGGTCGAGATGATCTGACGGCCTGACGTTTGATCCCGGCCTGTAACCACGACGCAGACTATATCTCTTCACTCTTCTTTCTTCTCTCCTCTCCTCTTCTACTCCTCTTCTATTATGTACTTCCTCCTCTATGTGCTCTCCCTGTTTCAGACCGATTCATGCGTGGAGTCTCCCCTGAATCAACAGAGCCAACCAAGCATCCCGGCTAGCTCAATCGATCAGTCCGATTGAACCACGATTGACTTTTCATGTCTATATTGCTTCTTCTGCAGGGATTACAGTACATACATAGTATACATAGTACGGCGGTGTAATACCAACGTATCGAGTCTCGCATGTCGACGCCCTGCCATAGAGAATCCCCTTCTGAGGAATTAGGTACTAATGCTTTCTTGTTGCTCTTAATACGTGTTGTCTTATACATTCTAGTACCTTAGTTTTGGGCCTTTCCTGAGGCTATAGCAGTGTTTTTTACTAGACTATTAACTTCCTAGGCCTATGGTTTAAGCTTGGTTAAATGGAATATCAGCCTGTACCGCACATACATGCATATAGCAGAGAGATGGGGTAGAGTCCCATAGTCAATGGCTATAATGTATCGCATGTCATGTCGACCTTCTCAGTGTCCTCATCACGTGATATGAAGTGCAAGTTTTAAGCCGCAACTCTTCATCGAGCTTCGTCAGGAGAAGCAAGGCAAGACTTCAGAAGACTTCGGATAAGACTTCAGAAAACTTCAGGAAACTTCAGAAAACTTCAGGAAACTTCATATACCCAGCCAGCCTTACTGCAGCAGCATGGCGGCTCATCACCGACATCAATCCTCCCTTGAGGGAGTCCTGGACTTCTCTTTGCCGTCGAGCCTAAGTCCTGAGGAGCTGGCCCTTGCGAGATCTACGTTCGGCCAGTTAATCGACCACTGTGAGCCTGTGCAGGCGGTCGAGCCCTACAAGAAGGCGACCCTGGTGCGTCTGATGCACGAGCAGTCTCGGAACAAAGACGCGTTTCTGCACCATTTCTTTCTCTACCTTGGAAACGAGTGCAGCCCCCCCGGGTTCTCGAGTGGCCTCGACCGGTTCGCAGCCTTCGACCGGTCAGACGCAGAGCAGAGGAAGGAGGCCGAGAGCGCGGTGGACAGGTTTGCCGGTTACTTATTCGATAACTTTTTCCTACCACGTACGCATCACACTTTCATGAACACATATGCTTATGATATACTGACGGTAGCAGTGAAGGCTTCGGGCGGACACACTCCACAGCCCACGCCGGCGTCCCTGACTGCCCCAGTTGAGAATGTAGCGGGGACTGCGTCGAGGATTGCCACGCTGCGACGCGACTGTCTCATCCGCGACCACCACCGCTGCGTTGCTACACGCGCGTTCGATACCGTCGAGGCGGTGAAGAGGTACGAGCGAGACGGGGTAGACTCAAGGGACGACGAAGGCCGGCCGCTACTTGATTCCAAGGACTCTATCGAGATCCTAGAAGTGGCACATATACTTCCACATTCTCTCATGTCCACAGGCGGCCAGCAAGAATTGGTACAACCCCCTTTTCGTTATCCATATAACTACTTTGTATTGACGTCTTCCCCAGAGCGAGTCGAAGAAGTCTGCCCTCGCAATACTCAACTTGTTCGATCATGGTGTTATCCATGAAATCGAGGGCCCAGACATCGATCGCCCGAAGAATGCGATCAGCCTTACCCGAGATGTTCATTGGCGCTTTGGAAACTTCGACATCCACTTCGAGTCGATGGACGAGCCCCAATACCCACCGCACACATACAGGGTAAATACTGCAAACACAAGGAACCCCTTTCTAAAACCTGCGTGGATACCGGTCGTCAGAACATTCTATCTCTCTCCAAACCGCACGGTGGAACCGCCATCTCGAAGGCTTCTCGACATCCACCGTGCATGTGCTACCATACTTCATCTCAGTGCTGCGGGCGAGTACATCACCAAGATACTGGAGACAGAGAGGATCCCTGTGTGCCCAGTGACGGATCCGCCCATCTCGGCCAGCTGGTCTC